TTTAAGCACTAGAGAATATTTATGCAAAGTTTCAATCCATTTGAATAAACTCTCAAAGAAAAAAGTGACAAAATTGATTTTGACTAGGTTCGCCCCTAGTCCAAAATTGAAAATGTATTTCCTTCTTGGTTCTTTGCTCAAAAAAATTTTAGGATGTTTTATTTGTATTTGTTTTGAGCACTAGAATATTTATGCAAAGTTTCAATCCATTTGGATAAACCCTCGAAGAAAAAAGTGACAAAATTTATTTTGACTAGGGTTTGACTAGTTCAAAATTGAAAATGTATTTCCTACTTGGTTCTTTGCGCAAGAAAAATTTAGGATGTTTTATTTGTATTTGTTTTGAGCACTAGAATATTTATGCAAAGTTTCAATCCATTTGGATAAACCCTCGAAGAAAAAAGTGACAAAATTGATTTTGACTAGGGTTTGACTGGTCCAAAATTGAAAATGTATTTCCTACTTGGTTCTTTGCTCAAAACAATTTCAAAATGTTTTATTTGTATTTGTTTTAAGCACTAGAATATTTAAACAAAGTTTCAATCCATTTGGATAAACCCTCGAAGAAAAAAGTGACAAAATTTATTTTGACTAGGGTTTGACTAGTTCAAAATTGAAAATGTATTTCCTACTTGGTTCTTTGCTCAAAACAATTTTAGAATGTTTTATTTGTATTTGTTTTAAGCACTAGAATATTAATGCAAAGTTTCAATCCATTTGGATAAACCCTCAAAGAAAAAAGTGACAAAATTGATTTTGACTAGGGTCGCCCCTAGTCCAAAATTGAAAATGTATTTCCTACTTGGTTCTTTGCGCAAAAAAATGTAGGATGTTTTATTTGTATTTGTTTTGAGCACTAGAATATTTATGCAAAGTTTCAATCCATTTGGATAAACCCTCGAAGAAAAAAGTGACAAAATTGATTTTGACTAGGGTTTGACTAGTCCAAAATTGAAAATGTATTTCCTACTTGGTTCTTTGCTCAAAAAAAATTTTAGGATGTTTTATTTGTATTTGTTTTAAGCGCTAGAATATTTGTGCAAAGTTTCAATCCATTTGGACAAACCCTCGAAGAAAGAAGTGACAAAATTGATTTTGACTAGGGTCGCCCCTAGTCCAAAATTGAAAATTGATTTTCTATGGTGTACTTTTGTCAAAAAAATTTTTTGGATGTTTTATTTGAATTGACATAATTCTGACATAAATCACATACCAATATTACTTTTTGTAATGCATAGCTTAAAAAAATCGAAATCTAAAATTTCGACTACCCATCTGAATTTTGTTCATACTCTTCACTGTGGAAACCAAAAAACAAATTCTTTATCTTAGAACACTTTTTAATAATATTTTAACATTTACGAGAAAATGTGGTTCAAATAAGTGTGAAGTATGGCCGAGATTTGCACCAAAATCAGCTATACTGGTTCACAGTGTTCACGAGGGTGGGAAAATTCAAACTAAGTGTTTTTGTAGCTGACATAATTATGACATAAATTCGGTATAACTTTTGAACTGTGTCGATATGGGTCTCGGCTGTACTTCATGCCCACCCTTCAAACTTATGCTGAGCAAATCTTGGTCTATCCATAAGACTTTTGATGGTACGGTGTGAATATATCCGCATTGGGTTTCTACCCGATACACTAGTTTAATAAGTGAATGGCATCGAGCCATAAGATAGCTAGCTGATTAGGATGTAAGGTCAGTACAGACTTTATTAAGATTTTATACTATTGTTTTACTAAGCATTGTCCTTCTTTTGGAAGTTCATAGCAATTCTTAGCTAATTACTGGATCGAATGAACTTCACGATGGATCTGAAACCCGCGGATGATTATCTACGATTACTGATTGCAGTTTTTAAATTCTGGCATCAAAACTTACACAGATTTTTATAAATCTTTAGATCAAACATTATTACGCTTTTATTATATTCAAGTCCCACAAAAAACTATATTTCGAGAGGAAATGGATCATTTAAGACCACTCCGTTTATAGAGATCCAAAAACTAGGTCACATAATATGATCGAAATGGAAGTTCTTTCAAAGTTCATCACATACTTTCTAGAAATTGATTAGATTCCAACCACATCTAATCATTGCTTCCAAAAAATGATTAAGTTCTACTTTCGTTTAAGGGCATCAGATAAAAGATGAAGTCATGCTGTACATGGAAGTTAGAGATGAATCAAATCATCAGAGGATGAATTATAATTTTCATCTGCTAGGCGATGAAAGAGATGAAAAAAAAAGATGAAACAATTGGTCTGTCGGCAATGATGCTAATAGCATTTTTTAATGATTTCGTAATCAACTCGATTTACGTATATTTACGAATATCTCTGTAAGGAATAAGGCTGACTGATGTAAAGAATGAAATTAGAATACTCGACTCATCGAACGTATTGAGAATGAATGTGATTTTGTGGTCGGGCATTTATTCTTGAAAGGAATTAAAGAAAGAACGAATAAAATCCAATATCTCTTTTTTACAGAGTAGAACGCATTTACATTTATGGTTTCCAATAATGATCGCACATGAAAAGAAGATGCCAATAATAAGAATATTATTGTTACTTACTCCATAAAAGAGAGGCACAGCTTGAGAAGTTCGTAAAAGACCACAAGCTTATGTGTATCGAATGTGTACCTATTATCATCCTTAATATTCATGACTATGACTTCATCAATTGCCCAATTCAATAATAAAACGATTCATTGTAGCGTACTTTAATTACAGAAGCTATTGATAGTTTGTCTACGTAATGTTTTGGCTGGATGTTGCTAATTTTATTGAATTATGTTATAATGAACAGTTTTCCTGGATCTTGTAGAAGAAGAGTGTGGATATTGAATAGTTTATCAGTTTTTTGACGAGTTTATCAAAAAAATGCAAGTTTGCTGTTTACTTAAGCTTAATAGTCAAATTTTAGATGGATTTAACTGAGCTTTAGATCTAAAATGATGAATAATAATGCGAATATGTTTCTACGTTACCAGAAATGACGAAAATCTAATAATTAAGTTAAAGCAAATTTGCTTAATTGTTTTAAAAAGCAAAAGTGGCAAGCTACTAAGTTTTAAACTTTTTAACTCAACAAGAAATTATCCGTTAAACAGCAACTACTTATATCTTAAAAATCATTTGCCAAACGACTCAAAAAGACCTAAATGCGCTCCACATTAAACACATTAATAATAATTTCTCTTCTTTCGTATCGTTGCATGACCTTTTGCTTAATAATCATCGCCTTTTTGCCATTTTCTCACTATAGAATAACAATAATTGAATTCGATTTTCAAAAAATTAAAATTGTATATCTGTAAAGATGTACATATATTGATCGATCACAATCAGACGATGGTACAAGATTTTTTCATTTTATTTCGTCTCTCTCTTGCTGTACCTTCTTCAACATTAAATTCTCCATTGTTTGCACAAGAATAGATCAAGTGATTTTGCAGAATTTTTTTGAGACAGAGAATAGCAATCTTCATCTCATCACATTATTCCTTCATATATTCATTTGATTTTGAATATTCGAATGATGATAAAGTATTTCCACTATTTGCTTTTATTGTACACAAGTTGTACAGTTGATTGCGAAATTATAAATATTTTTGTGAGGCTTATGTCATACATCATTATGGAACGTGAGTAAAAACCGTTTCTCCTCTTATTCGATTAAAAATTCTTTTTTTTTTGTATGTGTCATGACAGTGACATGTGAAACTATTTCGTACATCTAATGTTCTGACGTCGGCAGAAATAGAGTTTAACAATTCAATCTAGGTAGAGAAAGATGAGAATTTTCGCGTTACATGAACGGAAATTTCAAAGATACCTAATGATGAAGTGTATGAGTAATAAATGATGTGTACAAAATTTTGTACGGAATAGGAAAACAGTTTAAGTACTTCTCATAGAATTTACAGAATCTTTCTAAATGACGCGATTTTCTATTCTAAAACTGTTAATGATACTTCCAATTTTACCAGTCTTTAGATGTTTAAATGGAATAAACTGAATTGAATTTTTGAATAACTGAACGGATTTTCTGTTCATTTCGTTTCAATTTCAAGTCTTGTAAAAATTATTTGAAATATGCAGAATTTAGCTTGATTAAGCAACTCTCTTGTTGAAATCTTACTTTATTAATACTTACTAATATTTTGCAATATCTCTTGCTTCATCTCAGCATCAGGAAACACATTTTTTACCAAAATTATTAAAATCCTTTAAAATCTCAACAAATTAAAGATCCAGTAGGATATTCAATCATAACAGTACTTAAATGGTTATTTGGCTATCCAACCGTACACTTTAGAAACTTCTGAATTGCACTTAAATTGAGGAAGACTTAAAAAACTTCTATCTGCATAATTGAATCCAAATTACAAAACTCAGCTTGATAAGTCAACAAAAGATTTTAGAGAAAGCATAAACCCGTTAAAATCTTTAGCAAGCAAGAGAATCAGTCAACGGAAATCAGAATGATGCTCATCAATAAAAATTTTGTTCGCAAAAAAAAAATTCACAACTCATCTCAAGAAGTGGAACAAGCTTTTGTGTCATTTTCATCACATTTCCTGCATTAATTTACTTATTGTACAGCAAGTGAAAGACATGCTCACTTCATCATGACTTTAATCATCCGTTAAATCATCTTTTGTGCATGAGACCCAAAGTAAATTACAGTTGAACGCCTTCCAGCACTTCACATCACCTAGTTCAATTATGAGACATAAATTGAGTTAAGAAGCATCGAATTATTGCTTGGGGGAATCACTTTTTGTCCTTCATATGTACTGCTGTGTTTATAAACACTCATATCTTATTTTTATTAGCAAATAATTTAATTATTGGGCAATGTAAATCTTATTATACAGCATAGAACATTGGCGAATCATGCGCATAAAATTATAAAGTAAATTTTTCTTAAGGATATTCAATGAATATAAATATGAAGGAAGACGAGTAGGAAATTATCAGTTTGCGGTTGCAAGTTAAACAAATAGATACAGATTCAGTAAACCTTATTCATCATCCAACAATTAAGTGATCATGTTGTCTATGAGATTAATCTGTTTTTTGGCATTCATTGTCTTGATGATCTCAACAAATGTCGATGCCGCTTACAAAAAATTACCTTTAAATGGATCCATGTTTGGAAAGAGAGGAACATCAGTCGGTAATACTATTCACAACTATTTCTTTTCTACAATAATTGCAAATAACTTTTTTCATTCAATAGAATATGAGTCAACAGCACAAAAGACATTAGTTGCTTTATGTGATGTCTGCTCATCATACTTTGTCAATCAAGATGTTAACTACGTTCAATAATCCTAAAGATTTTGATCAATCATTTGAAGACCAGGCGAATAAACTTTTTGGCATATGAAAATGGAACTGAATCTCGAAAATTTTATATTATTATTATTATTAATAGCATGCAGATCTTGAATATAAAAATCACAAAAAAATAATAAAATAAATTTTTGAAAAATTAACTTTCTGGATTTTATTCATCTTTATCAATTGCTTCTTAATTTCATATTCTCAGACTTCTAAAGAATTTATCGAAGGATACAAAATTATTGTCAACAATCGAGTTACTCAATTGGGATTCAGGCTAAGTCCTAATGTTGAAGTTTATGCTATATTAAGCTCTAGTGAAGCAGGTGATTAGTATTTCAGAAGCAATTCATTACGACGCACATGGATCATGAGTTCAAACTTTGGACAACAATTTTAGTTGATTTTCCATTTTTATTTCTGATCTTAATAGAGTAAACACCATTTGCATCGATGCATTATGTTATGATCACTTCCTCACATCAAAACTTTATCTCAATTCAAAAATTATAGCAAAGTTGCTTTTGTTTATAACTGTAGACCTTAAATTTTATAGCAACAGACTCAAATCTCTTTTTAACTTCAACTCTGCTCTCAACTTAGTCTTAAGGCAGTAGACGCAATAAAGAATACAAATTTTTTTTATTATCTGAATTTTATTCACTATTTTTCGATTGCATCAATTATAAAATCTATTCAATCATGCTTTAATTTATATCAAATGTTTTATAGAAAATTTTGAAATCATAAGTATAATTAGACTTGATGTAAAATATAATAAAGAAGAAAAATTAAGATTTTATTAAGTTCTAACAGGCATCATAAATAAAATATTGAAATATTCATTCTCCACTTCAGGCACACTGATTGTTACTATTCTCGTCATTTAATTGCTGAATACGCGACCGTAGATGAACCATATAGTCAGTCATAAGAGAGGTAAAAGCTGCATTAAGCACATATTTTGGTAAACTTCCTTTCAAATCGATGCACATGAGCCACTCAAAAATACAATTTTCAGGCTCATTTGGTACATGTCTCATAGCCCAACACGAAATGAGATTATCACCTCGAACGTATTTATTAGTTGGTGGATATAAAGCATAATCAATGCTCATTGCAGCACTTACAAATATACAATTTTCTAAATTATCTACAACATCGCTGCTATCATTCTGAATGTCTGTTTGAGCATCAGAATATGGCTCGTCATCCTCACTCACAATGATTTCTTTAGCTCCCAGGCTTTTACTCAAATGAACCGGTTCATTTAATTCCTCATTATTGACTCCATTTATCACATTATCGACACTTGCAGACTTTTTAAGAGACTTCTCATTGACTACATTGAATGACTTTTTCCTATTCTCATTATTGCTTTTATTGCGATTGTCATTATCCTCATCATCTGACGAAATTTCATTGTCACCATCCGATGAATGTGATTTAAATGAGAATTTTGAGATGGACGAGTTGATATTGTAGTTCTCAACAACTTGAGAATTTCTAATCAATTTCCAGCATCTTAAATTCACAAAATCGCGACTCTTAACGATTCCACCGCCTCCTGATGCACTTACACTGTAAGCAATGTCGGTATTTGAATCTATTTTCTGTAAATAATAAGGTTTATAAGTTAGAAACATTATGCATTGAGTGTAGAGATTCAGACTTACTCGAATTATTTTCGATTCTAGCAACGTTGGATTCCAATCTGGGAAGCTTTCAATGTTATAGAACAGTTCTTGGAGCAATTTCTTTGGTGGATAATTGACTTTTCCTGACAATTTATAAACACGTCCCACTGATCGTGAGCATGTAGAAATACTGTCATTAGACCCTGTAACCTTTTCTATCTTCCAGTTACTTGATTCAAGTAATTCGTATGCTTTCTGCACTGTTTCAAGGCCTAAATGCTTAAACTCTTCATCCTATGGAAAGAAACAAAGAGAAAGAGAAATGTAAATTAATTAATATAATCTCAATTAAAATTCCGGATATGAATTGATTGTGAATCAGAAACCATTTGAAGTACTTTGAGATCCAGTTATATTTGTGTCGCACAAATTTTACTATATATGACCTATCTTAAGCCAGTTAAGGCACAAAACTGATTTATTTGTTCAGGTAGCATGTCCATTTTATAGGTAAATCATAACAAATTTATTTAAAACTATTCACTTATTTCTCACCGTTGATATATTCTTGTCAACAACAATGAATTTTTCAGTATGATGTAGCTTAAAGAATGACAATTTTTGGAGAAAATTCATCTTTAAGTGATCAAGATTATATTTGAATTACAGATTAATGTGATTGAATATGCGATGAGATGTGATGTTAAAACGATACTGTTTGCTGGGCTTTATTGTAATTTTACTCAATTGATTCTCTCGTTTGGTCTTTATGTATTATAATTAAATGAAATTTGTTCTCGTCAATTTTGAAGAGCAGTAAACTTTGAAAAATCATTCGAAATCTTAATTTATTGGTATTTTTTTAATGTTATTTGAACAGCACACGTAAGTTTTTATATTACTTCATTTAATTTGATGTGAATCACTTATAATTTATCCTGTTTTTCATTAATTAAAGTCTAAATTCAAATGTAAACAAATAATTGATCAAAAATCTAGTCTAAAACCGTTAAAATTTGAATTTCGAGAATTCTTGTACTTTTTTCAAAAATTTTAAAACCGTTAAATTTTCAAATTTCTATTGACCGTTGGTTTAATTATTAAACTTTTGGAAACAAAAACTTCTTTGACCAAAAATTGAATACCACTGAAGAGAATTATATTACAAAGCAACTACTTCATTCCACATCGCTCACCAAACTATAAAATATAAACTTTTATCACAAATGCTACTGAACTTCTAATACACGCACTCAGACACATCAATCACGTGTATAATCCAAAATATTTAGTTTTAGAGTGTGAACTTAACTGATAAGAGCACATTATATTCATTTCATTGCCGACCTTAGTCAATATTAAATTTCTTCACAGTTTTTTTGTTTAAACAACATGCACAGATCGCTCATAACAAAGGAATACAAAGTAAACGACCGACTTACAGATATGTTTATCAACAGCAGTTGCATATTAAATATCAATTTGAAAATGTCAACTAAATTATTATAGCTTTGTTACTGAACTATGATTCACTATAGACTGAACGTTACGGCGTTAATATTATTAGAAATTTTGAGCGACAATCTTATCAGTTTTTGTATATGTTCTATGAAAGATAAGGTCATTAATCGTTAAAAGACATAAAAATATTTACCTCGTCATCAGATTCTGCAGGCGAATAAAAGTTACGGGAACTCTCAGGTCCTTGAACAATACTTCCAACTCTCAGAGAATTAAGAAAGTGCGGAAGTAGTGGCGTTCTCGAATCCGGTGTTGAACTTTGTAGCATTGATGATAATGTCCGAGAATATTCCTCTTGTGGAATTACTCGTGAATCAAGGAACCAGCATTCAAACCAACTTATCACAAACGAACAGATTATTAATAAGACTTGAAACACAGGCTGATTTGAAGGCCATATAAAATAAAATACTTTGACGATTAAGAACCCACAAGAGAGCGTCGTTGTGAGAGCAATAATGATCCAGTGATTAATTTGAATCATTCCATAGAAAAATATTAACATTATAAATCTGATTCCAGCGGCACCGACAACATCAAATAATGATGTTTCGATGTTATAGTTAAGAACTTGCTCATCAAGAGCTTTATAGATATTCTCGCCATTTATGACTACACAAATCACCCACAATAGGCCAACAAACACTAAATCGAAGGTAACAAAAAGACAGAAGAATCGTCTAACAACGGACATTCGATTTGATCCTCCTCCTGTAAATCCAGCAATAAAATCCTCACTATAGAAATTAATAGGTGCCTGCGTTGAGCCTTGAATAGGAGAATAGTAAATTAATTAAAGGAAAAAACTTTAGTAAACAAGCTTGTTTGCTTACCATAGCTGTAGTAGTTATTTATATTTCCAACGTGTGAAGCCATTTCAATAAATCAATTTCTTTTTGTTCCTTAGCCGTGATCTCTGCGATAAGATTAATTTTATTTATTTAAGATCCAGACAAGTCTTATCAGTCAATTACTTACCATTCAAATAAACTGCTTTGTTAATGTTCAAATGATAATTTATGGATATAAATGCACTTAAACGAGTAGAATGCGTGAAAAGAATGAAATCAGGATGAACAATATGAGAAAGAATAGACGAAAACTGACTCGAACAGCATTAGGCATTTTTTATGTCATGTAAATTGTTAATATTGTTTGATTCTGTAGCTTTATGCTTGTTATTTTGATTGTTAGTAATGCTATGAACACTTTAAAGAATAATTAACTAATATAGGAACAGAATTATAGTAGATTTAAGCTAATATTGCAAATTTTAAATTTAATTTAATTTTTATGCTTGTTTTGAGAAAATTTGTTGTTGTACTGCAGTGCTGTACATACTTTTTTGATCCGCGACACTGTTAAAATGATGCACTTTTCGTGACATAGAGGTCGTCCAGATCTGCTGTAAACAAACTGAAGGGTTCACAACTTTTTTGCATCATCTTAGAAAAAATTCAAAATTTTAAGCTTTCAAAGGCTTTTAACGGTTTTTTTTTCTTCAAAAAGCTCAATTGTTTAATTAAAATACAATGTTGCTGAAATAGATCTTGTTAAGGCACGGCTCGAATTCAAATTTGTGATTAATCATTTTTTGCTATTTCCTTTTCTCAATAAAATACCAAGAATTAACAAATAAAGAACTAGTTAATAATAAAATATCATTTGAACATGCTTAAATTGATCTAAAAATCTCATGGACATTCTAGTTGATCTACAATTACATTCATTGCTTGTACTGGCTTGTACACTTTCCCGTTTAAATAATTTATTTATATTTCTTAGCTCGTAATTAAGGAAATTGAAATTGAGATGATGGGATCATATTTTTATATTGACTGGAATGTTAATTTGGGTAGATTTTTGCGTGATATTGGGCATTTAATTGAGGTTTCTGATGTTAATTGGGATTTATAATAGTTTATTGAATTTTATAACGGATTTCTTTGAAAAAGTTCAGAAATCAATAATTTTATTTCATTTCAGTTCAAATAAATTTTGAATTGTAGAAAAATAACCGTTAATTAAATTAGCCAATATTTAAGTTCCAATCACTAAAATGCGCATTAGTCATCCACTTAGCGACATTGTGCATATATATTTTGACGAATTCAATTAATATCGTTGTTAAAAACAAGTTCGACAGCATTATATATAAAAATGTATCGAGATTGTCGTCCTTCATGTTTGCAAAAGATTTTTCTCGTTGTGTTCGGCTCGTTTCTTAAGAAAGTTGCTGACTGGCTTGAAAATTGGCAGAATGACTGATGCTGGAATTTTGCATTGCTTAACTCTAAAATAAAATCTCGAAAAAAAAAATATTGTTTAATTATGCAAAAAAAAGTTAAATTCCTAGAAACGAATGTAACTTTGAAGCTGTATCCATTATATCATGCCTTAAAAGTATGCTTTTAACTTACATTTTATTTCATTCGTCGTTCATTAATACACAGTTAAGTTATTAGTGTGCGTAAAAAGTTTTTTTTTCATTCGTAGCTCGCTCAACATTTTCAGCATCGAGAAACTTGCTGTGTGTTATTTGCAATTCGAAAGTCGTTGAGAGAACAGCTTATAAAAGAAATCTCGCAAAATAAATTAAAAATTCATATTAAAGAAATTTAAAAAACATTTTAAAGGTGATAATTTTAACAATTTAAAGGAAAATTTGAATAGAAAAGATTGGAAAAAGTGAAAAATTTTCCAAGAAAAGTCAAAATTTTCATGATCAAGAAAGTTTTTCGAGTGGTAGTAAATGAATAGTACAGATTCGAAAATCTCTTCATTGTGTATGAAATCAAGTTATAGCTGAGATCTTCAAGTTTTTTTTTTATTTCTTTGTCTCTCGAAGTTTATTTTTTGAGAAGAAAAGTGATCATATATGATTTGAGTGTACGTCCATATACATAATATAAATATATATAAAAGAATCTCAAATAACAGAAAAGAAAAGTTAAGGTGACCACAAAAGTACACATAGAGGAGAGGCTTTATGAAGAATTCTTATTAATATACAAACATCACACAGCTAAAATATAAAGTTTTGTTCTTCCTCTCTGCATATATTGGAACTTAAGAATATAACAACAATAATAATAAAAATAAAAATCTTAATAATTTTAAAATCAAATATTTAAATAAAAAAGATGTTCTCGTCATCAGCATTCAAAGAGTTGGTAAGTAAATTGCTTAGGCTCATTTCTGCTTATAATTAACATTTAATATGTACACAGGTGCATGTACATAGTACATGATGTGACAACGATCATGCCTAGAAATGCTCCCTTGAGCACATTTTGCTTTGTTTTTCTGTCATTTTGCAATTTAAGCTTTAATGAAGATTAATTGTTGTTTGTCATTAAATTAAAAGATTTAATAAGGTTTAATCAGAGATATTTTAACTTTTCTAAAAAGGTTTGATATTTCGAAATGTTAAATTATTTGAGATTTCTTTTATTTCTCGGTATTCTGACTAAAACCAAATGTTAGACAAAATAGGATATTTGATTTAAAGGATTTAAAGTAATAAAATCTTTAAAATTTGATAAATTTTTAAATTGTTTTAAATTTCTATTAAAGGCATGACTTTGTCACGTCCAGGCACAATAATTAACAAATTTATGAAAGCTTTTGGCCAAAAATTAGAAATATCGAATATAATCCTTTACTGGATATTAATAATTATCCACGAAAGTCACAAAAACTCTATTATTTTACTTTTTAAGCAACTAGTTACTAGTGAACTAAAATGCTGAAGTTTTTACTAGCTACTAATCTAATATCGCTTAGAAACTAGCAACTTAGCTTACCAAAGAACTCAATCCCTGACTCAATCTTTAAAACTTTATGAGCTAGTTCAATTATTAAGTAACGCAAAACCGATTTGTTTTGGTAAAAATTTTAAAATAAATTCTTGGAAAATTCCATTGTTTTAGATCGCATAACCCTTCATCCCCATCTTTCTATCCAAAAAAAAAAAAACAAAATCCAACATCAAAAACAACTTGACAAGTTACAAACTTTATTAAAATCACACCCAAAATTCATCGCAAGGGTCATGCATTGCAAATTCTAAGAACGCAAAAAAGCTCCGTTAAGTTTCTTTCCACTTCTAACTAGAATTAATAATTTCCATTTTGCATTGATTACAAAGCAAGGAGAATATTAATATTTTTTTTTTCTCAAATGGAATATGAAAAGAAGTTGTTTGAAATGTATTAAAGATCAAGAAATCTAGATAAACCTGTCATGTCGCCACAAAGCTCGTAATAAATTGCTCAATCGTCACAATATTATTCTAAATACGATTTTTTTCGCTGTTCACTCTCCATAATGCCACAGTTGGGGATATATAAACGAAAAAACGATCGTGTGGGCATTTTTTTCATCTTCGAGAGATTTTAACTGCTTTTAGATGATATTGTAGGGAGTATAAATCATATTAATTTATGCTAATTTTATTCGTCCAATTTTTTTTCGAGTCACTTAATTAACAAACATCAGAAAAAAATTGTTATTGTTTATATTTCTGATGAAATTTTAGAACCAATCTTGTAAATGGGGGATTTTTCCAAAAATCCAGTCTAAAATTACAAGATTTTATCTTCTGAGCAACAAGTTTACGGCAACTTAAACCTTTCTGTAGTTGAATACACAATTTCAACTCAAATCTCACTTAAGGGCCTAAATGAACTCAATAAACTGAAATTTCTCCGAAAAAAATCATGTCCACATTTATGTAGTAGCCTCTTAATGAGTTCAAAGATCATTCAGAAACATACAGCCAAAAATGCTACGCGAGAGGTAGCACAAATTCAGCTGAATTCATTATCATGAACACAAAAATAAATTAAATACATTTCATTGGACGATAATGTAAGCTGTTTTTCGTGAATCTATGAACTTACTTTTATGATCGTATGAAATGTGATGAGAGGCAGTCTCGCGGGTAAAATTAGAAATATCGCTTTCATCTTATCAGTAGACTGTACATAAACAGAGCATTGTGATGTCACAGAAATTTGGATTTTTGATAACCCGGTGGAGAATCGATAGGGGGGACATGAGTAGATTCATAGACGCATACAATTATTGCTGTATTTTGTAATAGAGATAAGAAATTGTCAGGCCACTTTTTCGGTGATTAATGCTGATTATCGCTAGTTCAAAACTTGTAGAAAATTACACGTTTCCGTTACTTGTTGAGTTTTAGGCTGTTTTTAAAAATTTTGAGGTTATGTCTTCTAAAAATGCAAATTTTTATTACGACTCCTCATGGATTGATTTATTTAACTCAATTATCAAGATCCATATCTAATCCTCAAAATAGAAATGACATAACCTCGAAAAACAAAAATTCTAACCTCAAAAAACCCAATAAAAAGTATCTAATTAATAAAGTCAACATATCCAGCACAAATACTTCTCCCTGCAAAAAATATCTTTTTATCGCATTTCACACACTAAATTATCTTATTGACGTCATTCGCGATGATCGGCGAGCGTAGCATTGTTCTTCACTAATTAAAAATACACAAAAAAATTTGCTTCGATTTCAATTCATTCATAATATTAATATTGCTGTATTATGAGTGAACTAACGTCAATTGCACGCTAATTGACCATTAGAGGAAAGCTAGTGAATTTATCATGCAATGTTATGCAATTAAAGCTTTTGAAAATGGGCCAGAAAAGCTGTGAAGTAAGAAAAATTATTATGAAGCAGCATGAAGGGAAAAACCCAAGTCGCAACATCTCGAAATATTAACTTCTTGACTCATAGGCTTATAACAATAAAAATATTTTCTTGTAATATCATGTTTAGCGCTAAATCATGATGCAATTCACTTTCTACTGAGATTCAATATACAAAAGGTTTAAACCTATACACTGATCTTTCCATTAAAAGTTCTTCGTTTATCGTTTTCTGCTTGCTTGAAGCTGCTGCTTTAGCCTGTCTTCTCTCCTCAATACCATCATGTTTTTATCCATTCCATTTCATTTCGCTTTTTTACAACCAACAGCAGAAATCGATTTAACAACGCACGTAACAGATACATGTAAATTTTATTAATAATTGTAGCGAGTTAAGCGCATTTTTACTTCTATTGGGAAGCTGCTTTTGGTTTTCTAAAAATTATATAGTCAAAGGTTTTTAAATTTTCAACCTAACCTAGAAAGCTTTAAACTTGTGAGTGAAAATCACAAAAAACTGCCTTTCGATAATCAAAATATCAATTAATTACTTGATGTAGGTATGATTGCCAATTTTATCTACCTATTGGAATCAGAAACAAATAGCAGAACTGCTTAATTTAGATAAAATATATAGAAGAAAATTTCAGGTGTAAAAAAGTACCAAAATGAAAAATTTTCAAACTTTTTTAAACCGTTAAAATCAACAATTGATTATTCAAATCCATTGCATTCTAAAATTCCCATTTTCCATATTATCAAACCAACAAAAGTATTTCACCATCCACAGAAGCATAAAAAAACTAAGTCACAGTACAGAAAAAAATTGAATAACTTCCCAAACTGATCATATAACCATGCCTGCCTTGAATATATTGGTCGACACAAGAGCTATAGGTATTATTTATAAGTTGTGTAATGCTACTGTATGCTGAAAGAAAGAAAAATTTCCGAAGGCTATAAGAAGTGATTCATACTCCTTTTTCCTATATTTTTTCCATGTAAATTAAAGCAAAGTATTGCAAATAAAAAAAAAATTTTAAATGTTGACAAGTTGCATAAGTCATCGGTTTACAATTGTCCCCACATCTCAAAACTCTCTGGAGCATGCTTAATATGGCAAATAGCAAGTGAATGAGAAAAAAAAATCTTAAAGTTGAAAAAATGACGTCAACTATCAACTATGATAGATGTACACGAGAGCGAAACAATGTATCAAGTAAGTTGATGACAATTCTTAAATCTTTTTGTTGCTGACTGTCCCAATCCACGACATTATTCGCTTAATTTTGCTGACTTGCAGATATTTAAATTTCATCTTGCCATGAAATCGATCATTTCACAATCGCTTGACCATTTTTTTATTTGTTTCATCGGTTGGTCGTCGCCGTTACTGCCGTGTTATTCATGTTCGAAGAAATGAAAAGGCCTTCGAATGTGCGAATGAAAGAGAAGAAGGAGAAATGTGAAATTTCACTTTTCTGTTGTCGTCAGTGTGGTTTGGCTATATACTTAAGAAATAAATAAAATAAAAAAATATTGTATGCGCATACCTTGGGTTATGGCTGACTGTTTTATTAATAACAGCAGATGGCGATATATTGGCGATAAATGAAAAACAAAAAAAAAAAAGCAAAACAAAATGATGAAAAATTTGATTATTTTTGCCTGTATATCGATAGTCTCCAGACTTTGATCAGTTTACAATATAAATTAGCACAATTCTGATATTTATGAGATTCTTTATCAAGATCTATTCTCTCCTCATTGTTTGTTATTCCAAGAAAAGATTATTAATTGCTGATATTAAGCATTTTTTTCATCAGAATATCAATTTCTCATCTCACTGGATCTTTTGATTATTCAAATAAGCAATTACAAATAAGTAACATTCTCACAAATAATTGAGATTATTGGAATGAAATATTTGAATATTCATCTAAAAATATTGATGATAAGACGATGCCGTTGCTCTATATATTGATCATTGATCACAGTACAAAAATCAAATCAAATGAAAGTTTATTACAGTCTATTAGTTAATGTAACTCGCTTGACTACATTAGACGTGTCGATTTATTGTCTTTTTAGAAAATTTGTTGGATGTTTTGGAATTTGCTACATATTTTCTGCACGATCATGTTTTAACATGATGCTGGATGCTTGCTAGCATACTTGTTTGAGTTTAAAAGAGTCTAAATTGAGTAAGAGCTTGTTGCTTTGTAGAATAAATTGTGGAGTAATTAATTGACTTAAAGAGAAACTTGTTAAGCTAGAAATGATGATCAGAACAAAGATTTGAATGAAGTTAACTTTAATTTTGTTAAAACATGAAGTTTGCAATTTAAATAATAAGTTTTCTAATTTGTAGACATAATATCCAGCATAAAATTCCCAAACCAATCCAAAAACTTAAATATAAGCTTTTAAAATAATAATTAAATACAATTAATTCAGACTACAAAGCAATTTGTAGCGCAAAATTCAATAAACTTCTTAAGTAAACAAAAAAAAAGCTAAAAGGTGATCTCGGGATGAGAGGGAGAAGGGTAGATACATATATACAAGAGTGAGAAGCTTAAATTACTACCTTTTATAAATGTTGAGACACGAAGAAAAAGAAGAAGTTGTATGAAACTGGGAAAAAAACCTGACAGCCTTGAAGTTGATTATGACTATATATTTCGATTATTATTACTCTGCATATTCAAATGTGTTTGTATATATCTTCGGGCACATCAGAATAACAAGCGAAAATTTCCATCTACGTTGATTTTTTTTCTTCTTTCATGTCTGTGCTTGTCTGAGCTGAAGATTTCATCCCTGGATTATATTTACCATTGACTTCGTGTTGTTTTTCTCTTTTACTTTAGCTTTAACATTTTTTTGTAGATATTTAATTTAAATATCGTTTTCATTTTTTACCTACCCATAACATTTATACATTTAAAGCACATACACTCCTTACCATATTGAAATCTTTTTTTAGCACATTTTTATGTGACTTTGTAGTTATTCTTATTGACTGGACGACTGGATAAGTTGGGTGTGGTAATCATAAGCTTATTAATTTTTAAAAAATGTTGCTAGAATCGATTGTTGATCTAATTAAAAACTAGTTTAGAAGAATTTCTCATTAAATATGACAGAACAATGGAATATTGCTGGATAAATCGGTCTACCTTGATGTAATTTGCAGTATAAATCAGTAGAACCACACAAAGACATTTGGAAAGGCCGCAAAGCTTTAAATCTTTGAATATATACAATCATAACCTCAAATTAGCATACCGAGCGTCAAAAATGCAACTAGAACATTAAACCAGATTCTAAAGCCTTCGAGATTAAGCAACAACCTTGAGAAAAAAAATCTTTCTGGATATGAAAATGTTTGTAAACAGACTAATTTATTGTCATGTTTAAAATGCGCTTGAAACAACAAATTTATTGGCAATAGCGACTGTTCAACTAGATTTCTCTCTTTTTTCATTTCCATTTTAATTGTATTGTGCATGGACTCAACTTAAGTAGTAAATTGGAATTTTAAGTTTTTTTGTTGTTAAATCGGTTTCTGCTACTTATTTTTATGTAAATTAATTATACTTGCTGCCTTTGCCTTAAATTTCATTACTTCAGCTCGTGTGCTTTGCAAAAACATTTTACAACACGTTCTACCTCGCCTTCTCTCTTCATCCAGAATTGTATCGTTGCCATTTTTATTGCTCCGAATAAATTAGACGCCTGACTTTAGGAATATGTAGGCATTGCAATGTTTGTATTCTGTCAGAATATATGAATGGATAAATTTAAAATTTTATTGTTTTACAACCTCACTGAGGATAGAAAGTTACTCAAAATAAAAGCTCTCGATCGTGTGTAAATATCTTTCACATGCCAAAAAAATGTATATTTAAATGTCATTGGATTGTGTTTTTTTGTCCTGTGTTGGGGAGAATCGAACTTTGATCGATGAATAAAAGTGAGAGTTGATACTTCAAGATGTGATTCAATATTTGTCCGATGCAATGACCAGAATGAGACGTGATGCTTGACATCAAAAAAATGAATTTCCAAGTGTTTAATGTCAGATTAATGTAGCGTTGATGATTAATGTTAATTGACAAAGGAATTTTGTATTGACATTTAGTTTGTAGGTTTTTATAAGTTACTGATCGTCGATGCTCAGCTTTTTAATAAGTTTAAAACTGTTTTTTTATTTTTGATTAAGAAATAAAGCAGCTTTTCTCAAACTTTTTTGGTTATTGGCACATTAGATGCCATTTTGAAGATTTAGCTGCTCAATAGATTCTCTGAATGATAAGGTTGAACCTTTGAATTAACCTTAGCGTGGCTGAAAAGTCGTATAATTAGGAAAATTGTTTGACAATCACTGAAATGAAGTTTTGAGATAAATCTTATTAACTTTCATGAATTGAAGAATAAATCACGAAGTACTAGTGAACATTATTCATAGAGTGTCAGATCATCAGGAATTCCCAAATGAATTTGCAAACTTCACAAGGCATTGTCGTCACACGACAGAATTTGCAAATCATTTAATTCAAAAATTGTTAACAGCTTGTAAAACATACAGCTAGTCTCTTTCAAATAATAGAATGAACATCTTTTAATAAGAATCAAAATGAAGGCGTACTTGATCCGAATACATAATCGATTTTAAGGAAATTTAAATTTTTTTGCTGATTGATTTCTGCAAATCTTTTTTGGGTAAATCCCAAATAAAACGGATCAAATTGAAGTTAATGGCCATAGTGTCTAATTGGATTCACTCGTTAGAACAATTGATGAATTGTTGCTAATCGAATAAGTTAGTCACATGAAAAGAAGTGATTAGCATTCAAAAAGTTTACTCATAAAACTGAGAATGAATGAGTCAAGCGCGAGCATTAACTGAATATAAAAAAACATTGAGAATTTTCTAATCAAAAGTAAATTAGCTGTGGGGGAGACAAGTCAGCATAAAATTGCTAGACATAACAAAACGTACAGATAAAGAGAGTAAGAATTAAAATCTTACTATTTTGTGGCTTGTGTATTTTAATATTGGCAATAAAGTCAGATTAAGTCATAACTAGAATTTAAAAAAAAAACTTCTTTACACTACTCCGTGCCTCATCAACATTCTTCTTTTCGTTTTTTCAATCGAGACGACGATCTTGTTCGCTCTCTTACTTCGCATAGAGCTCGTTTGTCTTTCTGCAAGCATTTTTGTGTGTTCGCACATTTTCATATTTTTTTTTTAAATTAAATTCAGATCTAAATGTTGTTTTGAGCAGCATAGAAGTGTATTTTAATTCTATATACATTTCGGAGACGGAAAATAATACTAAGCTTAGCACAATATAATATAGTGACATTTTTGTGAGGATTAGTTTCTTTTTTGTCGGCCATAACTCACCAATAATAGTAACAATAATTTGTGATGTGACAAACGGTGTGTGTGGTCGGCGTATGATTGTAATTTTTACTCACGATAGTAAATTCTAATCAAAAAATATTTTTATTCCTTTTATTTGCATATTTTTAAACAACAATAGTCGCAGAACAACATCAGTTTGTATCAACAACAAACGATATACGATTTAAACTCACTCCTCGTTGATCCGTCGTCATCAACATACGGCATTGATAACTTTGATTTGTCACTTCTCGGAAGTGATTATCATCAGTTTGATAACTATCAGCAGTTAAAGTTTGATGATATAAATGTGTCATCAGATGTTGAGAGAAATAATCTAGCATTGTCAATTGAAATTGATAACAATAATAGTTATCAGTCCCCCGCATACCCCACGCCAATTACTCAATTGAAGCAAGAAGATACGCTTGATTGGAAACAGCACTCATATTATTTAAACTCGACATCATTAATATCACCAATCAGTCCCGCAACAACCATCTACAGTTCACCATCACCTTGTCCGACATTTGATCAAGTCATTAAGCAGGAGAATCATATTAATTTACCACCATCACCACCAGACTCAAATGGTGTTCCTTCTCCACAGAGCATCCATCATTGTGAAAACTTCAAAATTGAGCAGTTTGACGATTCCTACCAAACGGCTTTAAGCCCATCGACTGGTGAGAACTTTATCGATATCAATTACTATTTGGAGAATCGTGATCAGAAGCCACAACAAGATCATCAAGTTCTTCGTGGATTCTTACAAGATACAACATTTCAACGTAAACATAACCTCAAACCGCTTCCACTGGAGAATCTTTTTGGTGGATTGAGTCAACGCGGCGATATTGAGCCCGTAATTTCGCTCGCACTTCAACATGCCAAACTCGAGGTCCAAGCTACGTGCAATGCATTGAAAATTTCACCAAATCCACATGAATGGACAGAATCACAAGTTCAATTGTGGATTAACTCGACAATCAAACAATTCAAATTGGATTCATTACCAAAGTGCGAAATTCTATTTCCAGAAAATGGACAAATGTTGGCAATGTTAAGTGACGAGGAATTTATCAAACGTGCACCCCAAGTAAGTTTATTTTGACAATGCGTCATGTCTATAAATTGAATTTAATGCTGATAAGAAATTAACATGAATTGTTATACATTATTTAGATTGGAAGTATATTGCATGCGCAACTTGAAATTTGGAAGGCAACATATGTCGACATATCATCTATCGATAACGGTAATTCATTGACGTCAGTCGCTGGCCCATCATCAGCTGTACCAACAATGAGCAATTCCTTATCGCAGACGTCAATTTGGAACCAGATGTTGCATGACGAAACTGATGTTAGCGATGGTATGTTAAACTTTACGTGACTAGCTTTACACTTGTAGAAACTTTAAATTAACGAAAAAAAATAAATTATATTCTCAATTGATCTAGATGATGATTCAGAAGTTGGTATGGAGATTGACATGCAGTCATCACCGATAAATAAATCTGAAGCAGACATGACAGAAACTCCAGTTGTAAAAACACCAACAACTAAACCGGCAAAAACGCCAAAGAAGCATCATACACACTTACAAAAGAAAGGCAGTGGCACTACATCATCCCACATACATTTATGGCAATTCTTAAAAGAATTATTGGCATCACCGCAGACACATGGAACGGCAATTCGTTGGTTGGACAGAACTAAAGGTATCTTCAAGATTGAGGACTCCGTTAGGGTCGCTCGCCTTTGGGGTACAAGAAAAAATCGTCCAGCCATGAATTACGATAAACTTTCACGATCAATTCGACAATATTACAAAAAAGGTATCATGAAGAAAACAGAGCGATCGCAACGTTTAGTTTACCAATTTTGCCATCCATATTCTTTATAATTTATTCAATTTTCATTTTTGTAATGTTGCCAATTAGTTTAGTAAGATTTTTTTTAATTTAATTTCTCTCACACTCCATTTCAGTTTGTAAGTTAGGCATATGTGCGCGCGTGATTGAATGATTGAGATTATCGATTAAGTTCAAATTTCATTTGTCGCTAAGACTAATATATAATTTCCCCCTCGAGAGATCTCATGATCTTTCACACATGTATTTATTCATCTCTCTTCTATTTCTCGTGCAGAAATTAGACTTGTATTGTTTAACAACTAATTATATAGCGATCGTCAATCGGCATTAGTATGATGTCATTGTCGATAATTAGTTTCGTATGTTCTTTTTATAATCGTAACCCGTACATGCTTAGAAGTTAGCTATTATTATTATTATTATTATTATCGTTCTTGAGAAGGTAATTTCTCAAAGAAAATATTCAAAAAAAAAATGGAAAATTTCCTCACTTTCAACGTAAATGAAAGACGAATTTTTCAAGCTACGAAGAAGCAAACATTAACATCAAGAATATAAAGCAACGAGAGCAATAAGAGAATCAGACGGTTCTTAATATTGTTTAAAGTTACCGAGCTTAGTAGACAGCCATTTATATTTTGCCACATTCGCAAGTGTTTCTCTTGTGTTCCTTTTTTATATTTTATCGTCGACTCTTATGTTGGTCTCTAGAATGCGGATACGCACGAGAATATTTTTTTTCAATATATTATTATTATTAATATTGTTTTCGTCCAAAACTTTTGCTAGTTTTTTTCGATAAAGATGAAGAAACAAAAAAAACTCGTTTGTGCCCCGTGCGCTCACTCGATCAACATTGACGGGCGATAAAAAAAATATAATATTAAGGAAATGAAACACGACACGAAGGCAATATAGAATGTGTATCGAAACGTATCGGTAATATTTTGTCCCATATATCTATGATATATTTTTATCAAAGTAAGTTCTATGAACAAATTAATTTGTAATTGAAAGAAAAAAATATTAATGTTTAAGGTTTTATAATTGCATGCAAATAAGATTTTTATTATTTTATTATTTTTAATTTTTTTTTTTCACTTAAATTTCATTTTAAAATTGCTCCAATCAGGACTAGGTTTTCTCGATTAAGGTTTTTTGAAAGTTAAAAATTGGTTTTTGAAAATTTAAAAATTTGTTTTGAAAATTAAGATTTGATTTTTGAAAGTTAAGAATTGATTTTGAAATTTGAAATTGATTTTTGAAAGTTAAGTTTTTGGTTTTGGAAAATTAAAAATTGGTTTTTGAAATTAAAAATTGATTTTTGAGAGTTAAGATTTGGTTTTTGAAAGTTAAGAATTGATTTTTAAAGTTAAGAATAGATATTTTAAAGTCAAAAATTGGTTTTCAAAAACAAAAAATGAAAATTTCAATAATTGAAAAACAAATTTAAAGTCATTTTTTGGTTCTTCACATGAATTTTAGCTAAGTTTGTCCTTAGCATTTCAATCTAAAGTACTTAAATTTTCATTTTCAATTCTTTTTATCGGTGATTGTTTTTTTTTTAATTTTATTAAATTTTGTTATGATTTAACTATTATTTATATTATCAATAGCCATAATTTAATGATTTAAGCAATTTTTAAATAAAAATAAATACAAAATTAAGCTAAGTCAATTGTAATTTTGTGATTTCAAAAAGAAATTTTTTAATTGCGCAATTTTGAAGTCATGAAAGTTAAATAAACAAAAATAAATAAAATCAGAATTCGAAATATGTGCCTGAGTAAGCAGAATAGTGATAGGGTTGGCTTTTGATTTGAACTGACGAGTTTAATTATAGAGTGCTCATTTTCTGACTACTGCGGCACAGTAGTTTTCAGCCAAAAGTAGAAAGTTCATAAATTTTTCCCATAAACCCGTACCCAAAAAAAATGTATGGACCTTCCAATTTTGATTTTATTGAATTGTAAAAAAAAATTGTAAAAACTCTGCAATTCACCATGATTTACTCAATCGGTACCAAAATAAATATGAGGAATTTCAAAGTTTTATCAAAACAAACAATTCAAACACGTTTTTTCAATTTTCATTTATTGAAAGTCGAATTAAGCCTGCTTATGAGTTTATTTAAACTATTATAAATATTTTCAAATAGTTTTAAGCTTATTTTTAATTGTAATTTAACAATGACAATCAATGTTCTTCTTATTAATATATGGACATTGTAAATTTATGTATTTTGATCATTTCAATAGTTTTTAAGAAATTTCAATTCGAAATAATTTGTTTAAAAATGTTTTGTAAAAGATTTTTATTTTATATGATTTTGGTGAAAGGATAGTTTTAATTATGTCATATTTGACAACAAATTGTTAACTTTAAATTGAAACCTAATATCAAAAAGACACGTACAAGAATTTTTTATTAATTTATAAATTTAAGGAAATAACAAAAATGTTTATGTAATCTTAAAAAATTAACTTTTATGTTTAAAACAAAAATGTATTTTCTATTCTTTTGTAATTTATTAATTTATGCAATAAAGGGCTTAGAAACTAAGCAGAAACTAAAGTTTTTTCATTTTTGAAACAAATTTTCAGCTTGTACTTTTCAATCTCGTAGGTTGTCATTTCGAATCCAGATTAAATTTGTGTTTTTATTCCCCAAAAATGGTTTGGGGCCGTTCACTTATTACGTTCGCATTTTTGGGGGGGGGGGAGGGGGTTTTTGAAAAATTGAAACAAAATGCAACATAGGGGAAGGGGGTAAAAAGTATGTAACGTTTTAATTGTCGTCTGTCTTTTAAAAATAAGTTCACAAAAAAAATTTGTCTACAAATTCACACCAAAAACATTTTTTTTTAAATTTTCCACCTTTTTAATGATAATATAAATTATGAACGTTCAGGGGGGGGGGGGGGTTGTGAGTTGTAACATATTGTAACAAGGGGGGGGGGGGTGAAAAAAGTAGTTTTTTTGCGTAACGTAATAAGTGAACGGCCCCTTTTAGATTCTTCGTCTGTTTAATGCACGAGATTATGACAAAATTTGAGTCCGTTGGATTGAAGTTTGTAAAACAAATGATCTCCAAAAACTTAATTGAAGAATATGAAAACGAAAAAAAATCAAAACAATAAAGAACATAAGAAACTTGTCAACAAGACTAGCTAGGATTCAAATAATCATATTTAATAGCATTCTAAAATCACGATAAATTCCAGTTCTTCAATATTCCGGGATAAAATTGAATTGAATTAAATAAATCAATTAATGAATGACTAATCTTCATGATTCTAATTCTATGACGTACATTTAATATACTTTCTGTCCATTAAAGGATGTTAAGGTTTGACTCATGACTGACAAAAGTTCCGTTTTAAAGAGTTTTAAATTCATTTGTTGTAAAATTGAATTATTATTTTTTTGCTAAGGGGCCATTCACTTATTACGTAACGCTTTTAGGGGGAGAGATGGGTCTAAGATTTTGTTACGGTTCAAACACCTCAATCTAAAAATCCCTAAAATGCAGCTACCCTAAAATGCAGATAGAACTGCCAAGATGCAGATGGTACTGCTAAAGTGCAGATGAAATTTATTTTACCTAAAATGCAGATGAAATGCTGTTGGTTTAAAAAGGTATAATGCAGATGATTTTTATCGTATAAAGTGCAGATAAGATGCTGACCAAATGTAGATCGTATAATTTTAATAAAATACATCAATATTCAATGATTTTTTTCTTGATGCGTGTTAATCAAGTGTTAATGACTTTAAATGATCCGTGATGATCATTTGATTCTTTTATCTTCTTATGATAGACTTAAATTTAAGGGTTATTGTTTTGTCTCACGACATATTTATGTATATATAAAGTAATTAAAAGTTATAAAGTTTGCAATGTATTCAAAAATGCATATTTGTTTTCCTGTAACTTTTTTAACAACAAAACTAGTGTGTCGGGAAGAAACCCAATGCGGATATATTCGCACCGTACCATCAAAAGTCTTGCGGAAAGACCAAGATTTGCTCAGTATTAATTTGAAAGTGTAAATCCTGACGAACCAGCTTAGCTACGCTCAGCATATATTTGAAAGTTTAAAACTTAACGGACATTCTTTAAAGTTTTTTAAAAAATTTTTTCATCCAAAGTTTAATTTAAAATAAAGAAAAAACAAGTGAACTTTTGTTTTTGAAAAATTCGTAAGAAAGGAAAGTTTTTTGCTTTTTCTGAAGCAACGGCTGTTCCTACCTTGCCCAAAAACAATACAGCTCATCTATAGAGCAGCACGGATCATATGTATAAAACTAGAAGTCTCTACGAGGTCTCGTTATTGAGATTTCTTGCTGATTAACTTGCTTGCTTGCTTGTTTGCTTACAGAAAGAGTATTTTGCAATTTTCTCATCAATGCCATAACCAATTTGAAATCTGATTTTTGCTAAAGATGTAAAATTTCAGGCAAAAACTTTACTTCAGGGACTTTTTATATTCACACCGTTTTCACTTGTGAATCTAATGGTTTTGTTCAGATTGAAAAACCAGTTTTTTGAATTTTGTGAGGATATGGAGCAAGAAAGCTTAAAATGTACGGTGATGAAAAGTTTGTGCCTAGAAATCACATCTTTTGCAAAAAACAGATTTCAAATTGGTTGTGGCATTGCTGAGAAAATCGCAAAATACGCTTTCTGTAAGCAAACAAGCAAGCAAGCAAGTTAATCAGCAAGAAATCTCAATAACGAGACATCGTAGAGACTTCTAGTTTTTTACATTTGATCCGTGCTGCTCTATAGAAGAGCTGTATTGTTTTTGGGCAAGGTAGGAACAGCCGTTGCTTCAGAAATGGCAAAAAACTTTCCTTTCTTACGAATTTTTTAAAACAAAAGTTGACTGTGATTTTTATAAAATTCAACTTAGGATGAAAATTTTTTTTAAAAAACTTTTAAAGAATATTTGGCATATTCGTCAAGCTTTATACCTTCAAACTTATGCTGAGCGTAGCTCAGCTGACTCGATAGCTTTATATCTTCAAACTTATGCTGAGCGTAGCTCAGCTTACGCGATAGCTTTATAACTTCAACTTATGCTGAGCGAAGCTCCACTGCCTCTCTAGCTTCATATCTTCAAACTTATGCTGAGCGTAGCTCAGCTGACACTCTAGCTTTATATCTTCAAACTTATGCTGAGCGTAGCTCAGCTTACGCGATAGCTTTATAACTTCAAACTTATGCTGAGCGAAGCTCAGCTGCCTCTCTAGCTTTATATCTTCAAACTTATGCTGAGCGTAGCTCAGCTTACGCGATAGCTTTATATCTTCAAACTTATGCTGAGCGAAGCTCAGCTGCCTCTCTAGCTTCATATCTTCAAACTTATGCTGAGCGTAGCTCAGCTTACGCGATAGCTTTATATCTTCAAACTTATGCTGAGCGAAGCTCAGCTGCCTCTCTAGCTTCATATCTTCAAACTTATGCTGAGCGTAGCTCAGCTGACACTCTAGCTTCATATCTTCAAACTTATGCTGAGCGTAGCTCAGCTTACGCGATAGCTTTATAACTTCAAACGTATGCTGAGCGAAGCTTAGTTGACTTATCAAGCTTCATACCTCCATACTACTGATGGGCAAATCTTGGTCTATCCATAAGACTTATGATAGTACAGTGTGAATATAATCCGCATTTGGTTTCTACCCGATACACTAGTTTTAAAAAACTTTTAAAGAATGTTCGTTAAGTTTAAAATCTTCACACATATGCTGAGAGAAGCTCAATTGACACGCTAGCTTTATAACTTCAAACGTATGCTGAGCGATGCTCAGCTGAGCTGCGCTTTGAAGGTATAAAGCTAGAAAGTCTATGTTTGAAGATATAAAGCTGGTTCGTCAGGATTTATACCTTCAAACTTATGCTGAACAAATCTCTGTCTATCCATAAGACTTTTGATGGTACGGTGCGAATATATCCGCATTGGGTTTCTACCCGACACACTAGTTTTGTTGTTAAACGACATGTAACATTTTTGCAAGATACATAGATGAGCTCATAAAAAGGATACTCGACCCAATATATACATAAATATGTCGTCAGACAAAATAATTACCCTTACATTTCATTATGGATCATTTAAGGTCATTAAAACGCATCAAGAAAAAAAGTCATCGAATATTGATGTATTTTAATGAAATTATACGATCTACATTTAGGAAACATCTTATCTGCACTTTATACGATAAAAATTATCTGCGTTATACCTTTTTTAAAGCAACAGCATTTCATCTGCATTTTAGGGAAAATAAATTTCATCTGCACTTTAGCAGCACCATCTGCATCTTGGCAGTATTATCTGCATTTAAGGGTAGCTGCATTTTAGGGATTTTTAGATTGAGGTGGTTCAAACAAGGAAATTTTTTTTCATACAAATTTTGTTACGAGGGGGGGGGGGGGGTCTAAGAAGTCATTTTTTCGCGTTACGTAATAAGTGAACAGCCCCTAAGGTTAACAATATTTAATGAGCCAATACCCACCTTAATATGTTAAATTTCTTAAACTTCTGAATTTCATTAATTTGTCAAATAACTTTATTCTTTGATTGGTTTGCAATTTTGACACCTGAATATTACATAAAAGAATTAAAGTTTTAACGTTTTTCAAAATTTTGAATTCGAAAACAAGAAAAGCAAGTTAACGAAGAATTGGAGATTCAAAATAAAACGCGCTTCTCCCATAGTCAACTAAAATAACCAAAAAAATGTCTCGACAAAGTTTTCTTCTTAAAATCGATAAATCACCGGATATACAGGTAAATAGACTATTTAACATCATTGACAGACTCATAATTAATCCATTTTAATTATAAAACCTTTCTGTTTTAGTCAAATCTTCAGTTATCTTTGCAAAATAAATTTTCTGGATTATTAACAACAATTGTTGATGATGGATATAAGCGAATTTTACTGGATGAGAAGGTTGCAGAACGTCAACAATGCTTCACAAGATCACCACTGATATTTAAAGCAAATGACTGGCTTTATAGCATCTTCCCTATGATTAACATGACCAATATTTTGGATAGTTCAAGTTCAGAAGTTCGCAAAAATTATAAGTTGTTATTAGATCAAGAATTCAACTTTATTAATCATGTCAAGCCAAGAGGATATTATTATATTCGTCCAACATGCGAGCCTGAAACAGTTGCAAAGTTTTTATTGGAAAAGATCGAAAAGACTGGGAACGATTTAATATTTATAGTAGAGATCGAACTTCACAGCCAAAAGAATTACACTAGAATGTATCGACGGGATCTTTCACCAATTGAAGAGGACATTGAAGATACTTGGATGTACTGGAATGCGATCCACAAAGCAGCAAATTATCATCAAAGAATTGAAGTTGCTATTGTCTTGTCATCAGACTTACCAAGCAATGAACTTGAGATCTATCGATGGTTTGGAGAGCCAGTTATTATGCTTGTTATTCCTCATAATACATTTACAACAAATTCATCCAACTTTCCAGTCATGACAAAGAAGCAACAAGAAATTGTCAAAATGTTTATGCAGAACTTAAAGCTTTATATAGTTATTGAACCAAAATCATCCAGTGATCATAGGATTAAGAGTTACCTTGAATATATTGAGTATTTAAGTAAATCTTTAGATCGTAGTTCCGAGGAAGAAAAGGATTGTCTTAAATATCCACTTCAGCCTTTACATGACAATTTAGATTTCTCAACTTATGAAGTTTTTGAACGAGATCCAGCGAAATACATTTTATATCAACGAGCAATAGAAAATGCATTAAAGGATATGATTAGTGAGGAAGAAAAAGAAACTAGAAAGGCTATTGTTCTACTAGTTGGTGCTGGTCGAGGACCATTAATAAGGAGTACACTTAATGCAGCTACAAATACACATAAGAAAGTTAAAATTATTGCTGTTGAAAAGAATCCAAATGCTATTGTCACTTTAACATGCTTAATTAAACAGTTATGGCCAGACAAGGAAATTGAATTAATAGCTAAGGATATGAGAAATATCGTATTAGAAGAAAAAGCTGACATTCTTGTATCAGAACTTCTTGGTTCCTTTGGAGACAATGAATTGTCACCAGAATGTTTAGACGGTGTACAGCATTTACTGAAACCAACGGGTGTAAGCATTCCAGCTAATTCTAAATCGTATATTCAGCCAATTATGACAAAGAGAACTTATGGGCAAGTCCAGAAGCGAAAAGGGGAGAATAAAAAACGAGAAATGCATAGTGAACATACTGAAGTCAACTGGCTGATTTATTCGACCAATATCTTCCACATTGATAATTTTAAGGAAGTATTCACATTCGTACATCCTAATAATGATAATCCAATTGACAATTCTCGGTATGGAAAGTTCCATTTTGAGTCTTCAATTGATTGTATTCTTCATGGATTCTCTGGATACTTTTCATCAAAATTATATAAAGATATTGAAATCAGCATTGTTCCTGATAGTCACACGAAAGGTAAGATTTAGGCTTGGATTTAGATTTAAATTATTTTTAATTCACCGTATTTAGCTTTAGCTTGTTGGATTTAATTTCAAGCTTCTAGATTTATTTTTAATACACCGGATTTAATCTTAAATTTTAATTCTTATTCTCAATTCCTTTCCATCCACACAGGTATGATTTCGTGGTACAGCGTATTCTTTCCAATCGCAACGCCAATTCAATTGAAGAAAGGCGATAAAATTGAAGTTGAATTTTGGAGGAAATGTAACACAGAAAAGGTTTGGTACGAGTGGAAAGTCAACGCACCAGAAGAAACAATCGTTCACAATCTCAATGGTGAAATTCATCCTATTTTCTTAGCTTAATTCATAAAGGTCCATATAGTTTAAGAATCTTTTTATAGACATTTCTGTTGAATGTAACTTTGCTGCATTCTAGAAAAATTCTGCAAGAAGCTTCGTCATGAAATTGGATCTTTGTGATTTATTTAAAAATAATTTTGAAATTTCTTTCAGAATTTAAGTTTAAGAATCAAAAGAAATCGAAACCAGTTACTCAGAATTTTTTAAAAAATTGATAATAATTAAGTGAATTTATAGCTTTTAAGAAGTACAGTTTTTGCAGACTGTTTACATAAAGTATCCAGACTGTGTATATAAATTATCCAGACATAATACACATTTTTCATCTAAACAAACTTACGTATCAAATTATAAGCAAAAAAGTGTTAAATTTTTTTAAAATTAAATATCAAAGTTAATACAAGCGAAAAAGCTTTCAGGAATAAATCAATTTGAAAGTAAGAAGTTAAAAAGATTAATTTCTTAAAAAACCCAATTTAAAATCTACCAGCAAAACGTGGTGGCCTGAAACCGTTACCAGCTTGTTGAGGATAGTTTCCTGGTTGAGCAAAAGGTCCCGAGTTTTGAGGATAAGCACCAGCATTCTGTGGATAGCCCCCAAAACCTGCGCTTTGTGGACCATTTTGTTGAAAGCCTCCATAGTTACCACTTTGTGGATTATTACCGAAACCTCCGTTTTGTGGATATTGTCCGTAACCCCCATTTGATGGAAATGCACCTCCACGCTCAGGAATGCTGTTATCTCCTCTACGTCCAAAATCTGTGAATATTCAATTTAATTTTTGAGTGTAAAATTCTAATTTTCTAGCTTAGATTGTTCATAGCATTATTTGGCACTAATCTAAAGTCTATATACTCACTTCCATACCCTTGTCCTTGAACCCCTGTAAATTAAAGGTATTAGAATCATATCTTTAATCCTTTATATAATTTTAAAATACCAAAAATGCCAAATGTGCAAATAATTGCCACCAACAAAACAGTTTTTGGATACATCTTGTCAATTTAAGGAACTTCTGTCAACTGAGCGAATCGAATATATATATATATATATTTTTTTTTTATTAAACTAGGCTATCAGCATCCATAACTATGACGAAATATACAAAACAAAACTGTCTCAATAGACTTAACAAATAAACAATTGGCAGGAATATTTATGGATCTAAATCTAGGAATTATCTGGATTAATCTAGAATTTTCGTTAAATAAAAATCCAAGAAATCATCAAAATCAATGCATGTCTGCATACTAAGCTCAATAAGAGATAAAATCAGATGCTGAACCTTCCTTAACATCCATTGAACTCTTTCTCCTTTGCATTGTGTGCATGCGACCTTCATGATTGTGTAATAAGATCATGGCTAGCTTCTGCTATCGATTGCTGTACACATTATCAAAATATTAAAGTTGCATGCACAGAATGATTTTTAGTAAGCAAGCTACAACAATAATTTATGCCGAAATAATTCAAAGAAATTCATTGCAAAATAATATCAAATCGTCAATTGAATCTTAATTGATTTTGATTATTTTGTATGTTTACATTTGAATGTCAATGTCTGCATAAGCTTCAACTTGGCAATAACACAACACTTTTTATATCATGATGGCTCAATGGTGCATTCCTATACTATCGCAATTAATGCAAAATATGGAATATAAAAAAATCAGCAATGTGGCACATTGAACATTTTAATTAATTGCTGTTTAGGAGCTGATTATTGATGAAGGAGTTTGGATTTCTGTGCAGATTGGGACTTAGTATTTGGTTTGGTTTGAAAGTTCAAGAGTTGAATTTAAATTGATTCAAGATTACAATTCGTTCATTTCGTTTGAAATTTTAAAACCGTTCATATTTGAATTTGAACTTTTAGTTCATTTCGTTTTAGTTCAAAATTTTAAAAATCTGAAAACCGTTAAAATTTTGAATCAGGGTAAAAGTTCATCAGGTAATATTTTCAGGTTCATGTCATTTCAGTTCAAATTATTTGATTTGTAGAAAATCGTTAAATTTTCAAATTTTTAAGAACCGTTGAAAATGTGAACTTTTCAGAATTTACCAAAACTGCGTCGTTGTCAACTAACCTCAAATTTAATTTTATCACTACATGCTTGTGCTCACTATTTAAAAAATCTCTTCTGAAAGCTCTCTTTACCTCGACATTGTTGGGTAGGGATTTAAATTGATAACTTTATATTGTAAACATTTTTATTTTTTATAAAACTACTCCCATTCTTGTTTTTATATCCAATCAGTAAGGATGAAGCGGCTTGACATTTTAGTTTCTATTGTGAGTCAAACTTAAAATTTATTTCCATTTCTAATTTTTTTTGAATTCATTCTGCAACATTTTACAGTTTTTAATTGCTGCAATAAATCAGTTCCTCATCTGCACATGCAGTCCAATATTCACGTTTGATTTCTTTGGGAAATCGCAAACTACGACGCCAGAATCTGTAATTAGCGACTTTAGACAGCAAAAGAAGACAGACTCGAGTTTCGAGCATTCAAGTGCTTTAAAAAATGTGACTGCTGAAGAGGAACCAACTTATTCAGAAAGTAATGCAGACTTTTATGCTGAAGTATTTGGTCGTTTGATCGGATCAGTTCGTAGTAGTTTTGCTGATTTAATTGGGGATATAAAGAAACGGAATCAATATTTTAGGAACCGAACTGACAAGAATCAAAATAAAACAGCAGATGAGCTTAGCCTGGAAGCTGTAATGAGGCAGCTGGTGATACTTAATGAGACATCATCAAATTCACTCAATGATGAATCGGAAGTGATGTCACGAAAGACAAAAAGGAATCCATTTAATGACGAGGTAGGTCAACTAACAATTCCAATAAATTTAAGCTCATTTGATTTGATATCTGAAGAAGCCTACACAGCATTAAGTGATGACATGACTAATAAGGATGATCATTGGCTACGGAAATATTATGAATATTTCGAGCAAATTAAGGAGAATCATCATAACAGGAAGGAGAAAAAAATTATGAACTTATTTAAACTTATTTTAACGCCTGTACTTAAACTTAATAAAACGGAAGTAGATGAACCGACATTTGATGACGACATAATGTTCAGCATAATTCAAAATAATCATACAATTGGACAAGTCACGCCATTCCAAATTTTAAGGATATTACATAAAGAAAGCAACGACAGAATACAATTAAGGATGAAATTGATCCTTAAAAGGATTGTCTATAAATATGCACGGCTGTACTACATAGCAAGAAAGAATTACAAAAACTCAAATGGACATCATCAAGACATTCAAACTGACGAAAGTGACAGCTTTAGACTTTTAAATGACATGCCTGAGAATGATATTTCTGATAGTGAATTTGAGTTCTCAACTAATGACGCTAAGCATAACTTTCAGTCGATTGAAGGCTTTGCGATATTGTTTCTGGAAATTTTTGGTGCCTTTTTTGCATTGTATAATGGGTTTTGGGCTCAACTTGAAGGAGGATACTTTTATGATCTCTTAGAGTAAATGATTGATTTTTAAATCCAAGGATTAATTCCAAATCTGCAACTTAAAATTTGTTCAGTAAATTATAGTTTCATGTCGTTTCAGTTCAACACTTTGAATTGCTTAAAACCGTTATATTTTGAACTTTTGAAAACCGTTAAAATTTTAAACATTGGATGTTTAATTAGAAATGTTAATGTTGAGACGTATAATTCAAGAAAACAACTAAGCTTGATTAATAAGTTACTAGAAAGATCTTTATTGTTCCAAAATACCAGCATAATGCAAACTATGCCTTAAAATATAAATAATAATGCAATAAATTAATGATATTTTAACAAAACTATAAAACTGATTTTGTGAATTGACTATAAGAAATGTAAATCTAGTACGAGCATAAAGGACTCTTGAGAAACTTTCAGTAGTGCTGACAGCAAACATGATGAGTATAAATGAGAAGAATCTAGTAAACCAGATATCTTTTGTAATGGCTGAATGTTCGAGATGAAAAATTTCTTCCTTAGAAAGTGTGCCTTTAGACAGCAACAAGATCTTCCGTCCTCTTTTATTAATGAATGGATTAATTTTGCCCTTTTGGAACCTTCCAACAATTGTATAGACATCACCTTCTAATCCAGCAAATTGGAATCGAATCCTCATATCTCCAGTTTGTAGATTAAAGAGATCTTCTGTATGATAGTAAGCATTGCCGTGCATTTTTATAAAATAATCTTCAGGTTTTGTGTCTGATGTGATTTCTATCCAGGTATTGAACATGTATTTAGCTTCGTCACTTATTTCAAAGCCTCCAATATAAACTTTTTCAGCTATAGTGATTTTACTCTGGACCGACTTCTGTCTAGGATTTTGATGCGATAAACTATGAAAATTTCTTGAGTCTATTAACTTCTCGGACCATTCCTGATAATAGTAGTAGTTCCTTGAGAAGCTCTCATCTGTCAGTTCAAACTTATTTTCTGTATATTCTTCTTGCCATTGATAAATCTCGACGATTTTCCTTAATTTAACTGCTTGGACAAGGATGTTGTAGCTTGTTTCTCCTAAAGCTTCATGGACCTGAATTTCGCCTGTAAAATGAACTAATTTATCCTCATAATCTCGTGATCTTTCTCTATAATATCCAGCATTATCGAATTTGATTGTTATTGCATCATTATAGGCTTCATTAAGTGACGAATGGAACTTAAACAGTCGACCTAAAGTATTTAAAGGACATTAGTAATTTTAAGTAATTTCTTATACAGAGCATACCTTCATTTCTATTTAATATAAAGGATCCTATGATGAAGAATATGATTCCAAGAGTATTTTGTATCAAGTTGCGTCTATATTCCTTAAAAATTAAATTCAGCATTTCTGCTCTTTTGTTTACTATTTTAACCAGTACATTGAAGAAACTCCCAAAAGCTCACTGGATCAGGTATATTAAGGCATGTCGAAGTTGGTTTTTGGAATCTTTAACGTAAATAAAATTATTAAGGGTATATTCAGTAATATTCTGGCTTTTAGAGAGCATAGAAGTGGAAAATTACTCAAAGTAGAAATTTGTATTTTTTAACGGTAAAAAATAATTCAAATCAAGTAGTTAAAAAAGTTGAAAACCATAAATTTTGTAGGGTTTTGAAATTTCATGAAAAGGAGAAGTAGCAAATAAATACAAAATTAAATTGCCGATTTACAGCCTTTATAATGCTGTCCGGCTTATAAATTATTATCGATAAGTATCATCTGAATACGATAAAGTCGATTTAATTAAGTTTGAGGGTTTTGCATGGTTAAAATCAGTGAAATTTTATGAGATTTTAAAATAACAAAGAATTTTTGTCCGAGAAAAAGAAAAAATAAAAAGTGAAAAAGTTTTTAATTTAATTCATCCTAAAGTAAATTATATAGATTTTAGCATAAGTGTTGATAACAATTAGTGTATGTGCCGTTGTATATTATTAAATAATGGATGAAAAACAGCCTTTGCTGAAAAATGAAAATCAAGTTGATGTCGAAAATGCAGGTAAGAAAAATCTTTATTTCTCCTTTTTGCACATCTTTATGCATAATTCTGTCCTATTGAGCATGTTGTGCGTAACAAAAGTTCATACATCTAGACTCTGATAAAGTGATAAAAACAAAGCAAGTGACTAAGTCTGTCCAAAAAATGAAGTTGTTTCTGTATCTCAATCATTACATTTTCAATGTGTACAATAGATTATTATGTATATTGTTTTCATTAAGGATGATGACTCAGACTGTGTGTACAGAAATGAAAAAATCCATTGAACTTTTGGATGCATCGAAATTTAAACTAATTACTTTCTATCGCTTTAGGTGGAGCATTGCAACAACAGAATACGACAATAAGCTCGTCAATAGGACCTGATGAACTTCCACCACCGTACACATCAAATGAGGAGCGAGGATTGCCTATGGTGACATGCCGAGTATGTTCGGCTATGATTGATATCTCGTGGAAACGAGAACAGCATGTGGTTAAGTGTAATCAATGTAATGAAGCTACGGTAAGTAACGATCCATAGACATAACAAATTCCGCGATGGCGTAACTTGATCCCTTAAAAAAATAAACAACAACATCAATCCATATAAATGTCTAATTTCTCACATTATTTTTACATTTTCCTGCTTTCTTACTGGAATCGCCTTTCTTTTTCTGATGGGATTAGCCAATACGGTAACTATTGATATATTTATTATTTTTTTGTGTGGCTCTTTGAACTTTATACTGACTATTTTTTATTCCTTTAAATTACCAGAAATGCACCGCCGGGTAAAAAATATGTGAGGTGCCCATGCAATTGCTTACTAATATGCAAAAGCTCATCCCAACGTGTTGCTTGTCCACGACCAAATTGCAAGCGAATCATCAACTTAGCTCCATCTCCTGTAACTCCACCAGGTAAGTCTTACTGCCAACTAGATCCAGTATTTGCAATTAATCACAACTTTATATTTTTTTAGTTCCTACAATGCCGGGAATGTGTAGGGTCACGTGTGGTCATTGTCATGACACATTTCTTGTAAGATAAGCTTATATTATTCTAAATAAAATTGATTAATTAATTGAAATTCATTTTAATACTAGTTCAATACATTAACGAATGCTTTGGCAAGATGTCCACATTGTCGAAAAGTGTCATCCGTTGGAGTTGAATTTGCCAAGAATCGTAGTAATGTATATCTCGCACTTGGAATTCTATTTCTAGCACTTGCCATTGCTATGCTTTGGGTGACATATTCATATGCTGGCGTAAGTACAATCATGTTCTATTGCTGCATTATATAACATGCTGAATTTTTTTATATATTTTATTAGGAGCACGGCGGAATATGGGTTGCGTATTTTGCCATGTTTTTAGTCGCTATTCTACTATTCGCCCGAACATATTACTATCGTCGGATGAAAGTGAGTGTCATTGAAGGGCCAATCTAAGAGAATCGTAACGTAAAGATTGTGGAGAATAAAAGGAAGAAAAAAAAACTATTGAGTCTCTCAAATCATATTAGATTGCACGTTTAATAACTGATTATCATTTTTATAATCGTTGCTGCTTTCTATCTACATTCATACATATTATAATATTTTTTCAAGAAAAAAAAAAGTTTAAAAAATTACACTCTAATTAGTGCTGGAATAATTATTGCTTATTATTCCGTAAAAATGATGTGGAAACAACAAGATTAAACAAACCCTTCTTTTTATAACTACATTATTGATATTTAGATGAAAATTGTAAAAAACGAATCAAAAAAAGAAAGATTATAAAATGCTATTACTTAATATACTGGAAGTTATGATTTAATAGCGTATTCTTTAAATAATGATTTTAAACTGACATTTGTTCGGGAAGAAAATATACAAAATTTTGAAACTAGCGCATTTTTCATTCCAAAATAATCAATTTCTTAAAAAATAACTGTTAAAATATTCTTGAAAATGAACTGTCGAAATAATTTTGAAAATTAACTGTCAAATTTACTCCATTTTTTTGAAAATTTCAAAAATTAAGGATCAAATTCAAAAATACTTTTTGACTGCTTCCAACTGTTTAAGTCAGTGAATGACCAAAGATATAGAAACAGACTTCCTTAGACAATTGCGCTTAAGAACAGACAAGACTTAAAGATTTGAAAAGCTTCTAATTGTTAAATTTATCATTATTTATCGAATATCCTTTTATAATCATTAAGTCATTGTATGATGGTATTTAAATGATAGCGTCAATGATTACAAGTAAACGTCATCATTCCCAAGCAAAAATATAATAAAATTATTACATTATAATGAAGATTTCACATATAAAAAAAAATAGATAAGAAAAGATTAACAACAATGAGAAATCAAGTTATAATATTCAGTTTTTTTATTCTTTATTTATGTGATAAAAAGCAAAACAATTTCGCCGAAAACAAAAAAGAGATAAGTTCATTCGAGAAATTCTAGAAACTTTAATAATTATTATTTTTATTTTCACTTGATATTATATTCATTCATTTTTTAAGAACTCTTTCTTGAATCATTTGCGAGATTGATGACAAATGTAAAATGGGGATTTTTTTTAGATATTTGAGAATCCCACTGAATTCTTCAAGTTCCGCTTGATTTGATAAGAAACCTTTGTTGTGTGAATGCATGCTGAAGATTTTAAAAAAATTTAAATTAAAATTTTTTCACATTTTAAAATAAAGTCAATCTACACAAATGATTCAAGAACCATCCAGCCTATAGTAATTTATGATCAAATTATTTTCATTTATTATTTCACTTAGTAAAGTTTATATTTTTCTAGTAGCATACGATATTCCCAGCTTTGGTTTAACTGTTTGTTGAACAAATAATTAAATCAACGTTTAAACAATTCTTTTTCTAAACTTCATGCTTACAACATAAACATACATAAAAAATTATATACACAACAATAACAGAAAGAAAGAAAGTCATTATCTCGTAAAAATTGAAGATAATTGTGTAATAAGTCAGGATAAGAATGACTTATAAAGGAGAAATTTGAGTTAAAAATGACAAGAAATAAAGCAACAACAAAAATTCGTATGAAATTAAAGCTTTTGTGAATCGTCACTTTTTGGTTCCAGCATTTTCATCTTAATAACATTTGCATCTAAATTCTTCTCACGACTCAGCTGTTCGATAAAATTAAGGAACTGTGTGAAATCTACAGCAAATATTCTGAAAAGTTAAATTTAACATAATTAACAGATTAATGTGAAATTTGACATCCTTACTTTAATTTAGCAAAAACAATGCCTGTCTCGAATATTGTGAGCATCTTTGGAATTATTTTCGTCTCGTACATCCAATTGTCAATTTGACTTAACGTAATTCCATATTTATTAGCCCGTTCGTGCCAATATTTTAAATTCTCATTCTGCTTATCCGTCATCCTTTTATTAATGTATTGATTTTTATATCTATTAAACAATTCTTCCATTAAAACTAAATCCACTTCCTTCGACATTATCCTCAATAATGTTCAATTGCAACATTTTATGGACATGAAGCTTAAATTGTTGCCGTTGCTTGGATATTTCATACATTGTTGACTATTGTGATTCTCTAGGTCACGCATTGACCTTCAACTTTAAGCAGTCTATACATGGGATGCAGCATATTTCTAACGGATTTTTAAAAATAAAAATTGGAAGTGCTATTCTGCTGACTTAATAACCCCCTCCAACAACAAAAGACTCAATTTGCAGGTGAAAAATTCTAATTAGCTAAATCTGCTCTTAATATTAACAAATAAATCATTTAATGGTAAGCTTTAAAATTTAAAATTAAGCAATTGTCAAGTCCTTTAATCTATGTCATTTATTTTTAGCATTTAAGAACCCCAGATTTTTAAAAATAGAATAATCATCGAGGATGCAAAGTTCACACATCAAATTACTGAATTATATCTTAAAGCTTCGCTATCCAAAATATCCAGCGTATTACTTTCCAATCTACTTAATTCTCAAGTTCCTCCAAGAATTCGATTTTAAGTTCAATACTAGAAAGCTTCACTTCCAATTGTGTGCAATTCCGAATAAATATTTTGAATTTTTATGTCGTGAACATGAAATAAGATCGGAACATACAATATTTATTAATCAGAAGGTCTTTGACTATTATATCTATCAAAAAGACGTAAACTTTCTCAATGTCCTGCTTAGCGATGCAACGAAAAAGACAAAGAAATTGTCACAAGCTGAAAAAGTCATGAAATCAATTTTAGATTCACCAAATAATGCTAATAAAGATAACAAGGCACAAATTATGTATCAAGTATTTCCATTGGATATACCGATTAACAAAATATTCATCAAAGAAAATTCTTATTGGAACTTTTTGGACAAATACAAGCTAAGCATTGATCATGAAGTTTATGTTAATTTGACAATGCTGGCTCAGAATCAGAAAATGCCACCAATTTCCACAAAAGCTAATGTTTTCCTGATCAACTCTCCTTATGATGTGCCAAGTACATTTTCTGATGACGTCCTGAAAGAATATTTCAAGAAGCCAAGATTAATGTACAGAAATCACACTTACAGAATTGATTTGACTGAGAAGGAACTTGGAAACTTTATATTCTGTGAAAATTTCCAGTTAATCACTAAACTTAAGAGACTTTTTATTAAATGTGTTCATCTTGAATCTAGAGAGAATCCATTTGATACTTGCGGAATTGTCATGCATAACTTAACAAGCTTGACACAAACAACAACAATTAATTATCAAGTTCCTCGTCAATTACTTAGCGATCATTTTATTACAAGCTATCCATTTGGTCTTAAAAATGCCTATGAGAATCTAAAATCATCAATTCTTCCATTTGTCATGTCTGAAACATCCAAAGAGCTCCTCAAGTCGAGGAAAATATTCCCAATAATTCAAATTCTTGGCGAGCGTGGCAGTGGAAAGAGAAAAATTCTTCAATCATTGGCCGATAGTTTAGGAATTCATGTCTATTATGCTGAATGTTGTGACATTTCATCATCATTGGCATCGCAAACGGAACAAAAAATTTTATATACTTTACATCGTGCCACAAACTGTCAACCAATCATCATTTGCTTTAATGATTTTGAGTTTTTCGGAAAGAACAATGAAGGACACGAGGACGAGAGAGTCATAAGCTTTTTTAAGTCTGAACTTAACAAATTGTTCAGTAAGAGCACTTTTGAAAATCCGATTATTGTTGTGGCTTTGGTCAACAGCAATCAGCCACTCAAGTCGCAGAAGCTAAATGAATTGTTTTTGGAAACAATCACTATTAAGCCATTGGAAAAGGATGAGAGATTCAAGTGCCTCTTGTGGTATCATCAGCAAGAAGTGTTTGATAGAAATTGTTACCTTATTAAGAAGAGGAAGCTTGATAACTACATCAATATGAGAATTAAGTCCATAAATGATCAAAATGACTTGAATATTTTAAAATCGATGGCTGAACAGACACAAGGTTTCCTGTTGGGTGATTTGAGGATTCTTTATGAACGTTCAATTGACAAGCCTAGTCAAGATTCATTGAAGCTAGTTCTAGACGGAAATAAGTTCAAGGAACAACTTACAAAAATTAAGAAAAGTTTCAGTGACAATATCGGAACTCCTGAAATACCTAAAGTTTTATGGGATGATATTGGAGGTTTGGCTAATCTAAAGACAGAAATTCAGAACAGCATTGGATTGCCATTGAAATATTCACATCTTTTGGGCGGGAAGAACATGAAGAGATCTGGAATTTTGTTGTTTGGACCGCCAGGTTAGTTCCAATAATATTTTCTTGATCGAATACTTTTAAACTTAAAGCTCAATTCAATTTACAGGAACTGGCAAAACATTGATAGCTAAAGCAGTAGCAACAGAATGTAACTTAAGCTTTTTATCCGTTCAAGGACCTGAACTACTCAACATGTACGTCGGTCAGTCGGAACAAAATGTTCGTGAATTATTTGCCAAAGCTCGAGGATGTGCTCCATCAGTTGTGTTTCTCGATGAACTTGATGCTTTAGCTCCAAACCGTGGTGTTGCTGGTGATTCTGGTGGTGTTATGGACAGAGTAGTTTCACAGCTATTGAGTGAATTAGATGGAGTTGATGATGATCCTAAGAAGCCAGTTTTTATTCTTGGTGCAACGAATAGACCTGATTTGATTGATAAGCAGTTACTTAGACCTGGAAGATTTGATAAAATGCTTTATGTTGGTCCGTGCACTTCTGTTGATGATAAGGAGCTTGTGTTGAAAGCTTTGATGAAGAAATTCAATCTGAAAAAGGAAGTTTGCACAAGAAAAGTTGCTGAAATTATTAAATGTGATGTCACAGGTGCTGATCTTTATTCTATTTGCTCAAATGCATGGCTTTGTGCTGTTCGTAAGTATGTTCAAAAACATGGCGGTGGGAAATTAAAGGAAAGTGAAATGACAGCTGAAAAGATTCTTGTTGGACTTGATGACTTTACTAAGTCTTTAGATCGGTTTGTATCTTCATTAAATCAAGTGGATATGGAATATTTTAAGAGGTTGCAGGTAAATTTTGGTTCATAAAGGACTTAATTGATGTGAATTTTAAACGAATTTATAGAATATTTGAAGGTGCAATAAAGACATGAATTTTATAACTAGATGTTGTTGTTCAAATGTTATCGACTGATCTCACAAGTCGGAATTAAAACAAAATGTTCACTTTATTTCCCATCATGTGGATTTCCATACCATTATCACCTAAAAAATGAATTTTTCAGCAATAAAAAGTCAAAATTTATATTTTAATTATTGAAAAAAAGTTTTATTTTTAAAAGTCTCGAAAATTTTTATGAATTAAGTGTTTTTTAATCAACAATAATAAATTTTTCTCTTCCTTAATTTCTTTATTCTTATATTAAAAAAGAGCTTGTGTTTCTTGTCAACATATTTTAATATTTTTTTTTTAACTTTTTCATTTATTTTTCCTTTCCGTAGCATTTAAATTTGCAGCAAATTTTAATTTAAGAAGTTAATTTTTTTTATCATTTCGTCTTTATTTTCTTTCTTTTTTTTGGTGTGTGTCTGTGTATATATATGTATGTATGTGAATCATATTCTTTATTATGTGATATTAAACTTAAAAAATCTAAATTTTGCGTTTAGCTTTTTTTTTATTCCTGCATTTAAAATTTCCTTTTTTTCTACAATGATTGTTTTGTGTTCATTTTTTACAAGAAATTGAAAGTTTTGAAATCTTTTTTGAAATGTTAATTTTCAATTTTTAAATCAAACAACTGATTTTGCATTTTTTATGGTTTTAATTTTTTAAAAGTTCAATTATTCAAAATTATTCAAATTTTTCAAATTTTTTCAATTATTCAAATTATGGACTTTAAAATCTTTAGAATTGTTACAAAAGCTATATGAATATTATTAAAATCCAACATTAAAACATTCAAAATTCCAAAGAATCTCAATTTAATGTTATTTTGAAAAAAAAAAATTCAAAATTATTTTTATGACATTTTTCAATTTTTTTCCAGTCGACTGATCAAGATTCAAACTTGACAGAACTCATAAAATAAAGCTATTGAAATCACGAACTAAACCTTTAATTTTGAATTAAGAAATTTCAAAAAACTTTCAATCTCATTTTTTTAATTTTTAAAAATTTGGTTTATAATTTGAATAAATTTTTGTTTCTTATTTTTCATCATAATCAGAATAATTCGAAAAATATTCAAAAATCTTTTTCATTTATTTTTGTAAAGTTTTATTTAATTTTATTAAGTTTTCTTTTCATCAATTTTATTTAGTTTAGAATTTAAAATGCTTAGAAATTATTCATCGCTTCTATCTAAGAAAAAGACAATAACAGTTAAAGATTTTTCTCACTTCTTTTTCTTCATAAATTTAAATTTTTAAGGAATTAGAGGATAAAAAGTTTTTTTTTGCTTGCATTTAAATGCAACAAACAGTCAAAAAATTAAAAATAGTAAGTGAGAGTTAAGTGCTTAAAAGACTCTTTTTAATTTCATTTTTTTTATTTTAGTTTTCTCTTTTAAATTTACAAGTAAAGCTTTTGGAAGAAGTTTCTCTTTTATTTTCATGTCTTAATCAGAGGTTGATGTTTGAGGTTTGGTAAATTTGGCGCCAAAATACGTCGAAGTTAGTTTTTCTTGCTAATTAGAGTTTGATTGTACTTATTTGATCTTAATCTAGTCAAATTTTGTTAATTTCTTTTAAATTCAGCTAGAAATTTCAAATTTAAGAATTTAAGTTCAGTTTTAATGTTCTGATTAAATCTAAATTAGAATCAATTTAGATTTTTAAGTAAGATGAAAAAACTCAATTTTGAGTTAAACTTAAACACAATTTAAAGGTTACAAACTCAAAAACCTAACCTCAAACATCAAAAAGTACCAACTCTGATCCCCATCATCATTCAATTTTGAGGATAAAAATCTTAACACTATATTAGTCAGAGTATATGCCAGTTTGCAATAATTTTTCTCCTATTTTTCACTATTGGCAAAGCCTCAAACTTTCAATAATCGTCGATTATTAATTAAATATTAATAACAATAACATTTATTGCAAACTGAACATCTCTTCGCTCTTTTCCTATTCAGCAATAGAATTTAAGGACACTGGAATTCAAGTTAAAAGAATTCACAGGTCCTCAATCATCATTCAAAGTTAAGAAGTAAATTTAAGTAATAAATAACAAGTGGAGTGAGTGAGAAAAAATTTAAATATATTCATTAAATGTTTGTGTATGTATAGTAACAGCATTGAGTGTCAAAGATTATTTTTTTTCTTTTCGTTTCAGTTTCATTTTCAGTTAAGTTAGATTAAGTAATAGTTTTTTAAAAGATTTTTTGGAAAAAGTTTTCGGCATTTTTTGTTCGGCTTAAAAGGTTTTAAAAGAGCTTTTCTGAGGAAGTTTTGAAATTAATTAATAATAAATTATTGTTTTAAATTGTATTGAGTTGGAAATTTTCATGTGATCTAATTTATTAAATCCATAAAAAATTGCCCAACTCTTTATATTTAATTATAGTTTATGTCTTTCGAAAATATGTATTATTGCCTGTAGTTATTCGATCCACAAGACATTTATGAAGATAAATACAAAAATGTTTAATAAAAATATTTGGTAAATATTAGAAATAGATTCTTAAAAAATATTCAGCGCAGAAGTTCAAAGAAGTTAAGTAGTTTCGGTTTAGCCTTTTTTGTCTGTATTATTTTGAAATAGAAAAAAATATTGTTTATCATTTAATTTAAGTATATTTTAAATAGATTAGCTATTGAGAACTTAAAACTTAGTACATTTTACAAAATTATACAGACGAAGATATAAACTAATTATATGATTAGAATACGATGAATTAACTAGGAAATTAATGAAATGAGATTTTATAAGATCCAGTAATCAATTGTAAACTATCTATGACTATTCCTAAATGATTTCATTAATCTTTGAAAAGGATTTTTATGTTTTGATCACTAAGCGTTTGTTATTGATATTTCCTAAGAATTTCCCCTCAAGAATCAAATTTATAAGTGGCAATTCAAATATTCACAATCTAATTACTGGATCAGGAAAAATAAATTTATCCGTTCAGTTCCATTTCCATTTTTAATTTATTCAAGTAACTTTTAAATTTAAAAAAAATTAAATTTGTCCATCAATATTTATTTCTTTTGTAATTCATTTATATTATTCATTTCTTCCGATAAGATTAATGTTTTTTCCTTTCAAAATATTGTGTTTGTGTATATATAATCTTTTTTTCTTCTAAATACCCACAATTTTGATTCCAATTTTTTTATCTTCGATTATTTTTTGTTATATAATTTAGTTATCTTCATTTTTATCCGTGACATTTAATAATATATGATTATTTATCTTGAAAAAATAAGTTATTTTCAACCATGTGTTGAAAAAAAAATCATTCATTATGAAAAGTATTTTTGGGAAGAACTATTACATTGACTTGTACCTTTCATTTATTTATTTATTTATTTCTTTATCAAAAGTTGGATTCTTTGTTAATATTTGTTTTTCTTTTAACCAAATAATGATTGGAAAGGGTTGAAAACTTTATGAATTTTATTTGAGAATTTATACTATAATCCACAAAAATCTGGATCTGAACTTAAGATTTCTAATTTTAACAAGTTTCAGATCTAGCTCGTTATTATTATGGATTGATAAAGTGGACTGTTATAAAATGTTCAAAAGATGGAACCTAGATGATTCAATGTTTAACTCTTATAAAAGCTTAACAATTTGGCTTCACTTTTGAAATCAGTAGATGATACTTGATCATTTAAAGTTAAGATAGGTTTAAAACTAGATATGGATTAAACACAATATTAAGGACCAAATGGTTAACTCGAAGATTACTCAAAAATGTTTGATTTCAATTGAATTTCACTTTAAGGAATGATTATCAGATGAATAACGACTCCGGTTTTATTCCAGCGAATGACTTGTCAGATTATAGTGTTTTTTCACTGTTGTAGCTACCCAACTAGGTGTATAAGCAATCAAATTATTACTTTGTTTATTTAAGATACTCTTCGTGTTAGAAATTATTCAAAAATTCACAAAAGCTTCCAACCCTTGACCAAATCATAAACTTGGATATCTTCAAAATAAAAATTTTATAATCTTTTTTATTGATACAACAAATAAAGTAATTTCCCATATTCTCTTCATTAATCTCATTATTTCTTTTCAAAAATTTATATTTTCCTTCCAAATCGTGAAAAATTTATAAAAAAGTTTATTTTTATGAAAAAACATTAAATTTTCAGAATGAAAATTTTTTACTTTATTTTTCTCAATTGCCGAGTTAAAATTCTAAAAATTGGTGTAAACTTTCGTAGGCTTGTAAGCTATAAATTTTTTCTTTCTTTTGGAAAAGAACAGACAATCAGATATTATAGTAATTAAATGTTTCGACATATTGCTATATAATACTGACCGCCAGATCTTTCAATTTTCTCAAATTTTTTTTTGCTTTCAGAAACTTGAGATTGGTTGCAGTTGGAATATTTGAAGATTTAGAAAGTGACTTGTTCTCTATTGAGCATATATGTTGATAAATTTCACAACCATCAGTATGATAAAAATTCTTAACCTTTGAAATTAAGTATCTTTCGAGATTTCGGATAAGATTTTGAGATAAATAATCATGAATTGTTCAAAATTCATTTAAGAATCCTTTGATTAAAATTTCAAAGATTTTTTTGATATTTTATAGTTTTGATCTTAGTCAAAATTTGTTTTAAAATTTTTAAGCTTTCTAAAATTGAAATTTTTTGGTTCACTTAAAATTCAAGTTTCAATTTGAGATCTATTTCCATAATTTTCAGAGAACAATAATTATACATCTTAAATATCACAACTTCAACCAACAAAAGATTCTGAACATTTTTTGAAATATTTTTTTAATTTGTTTCACAAAAAGAATTTCTAAAAAGGATTTTTTTAATCTCTTATCATTTTTAATTTTTTTTTACTTCAAATCTTATTAATTTTTCATTTATTACTTATTATTATGAAGAAAAAAATTTCATGTTTTTATAAATCGTACTATAGGAAAATTAAAATTCATCACAAGATCAGGTAGCTGATGAAATATATATGTATGTATATATTTAGTATGTTTTATTTTCTTTTTCTTCAATTTTTGTTGGTATTATGTTAGTTTCATTATCAAATTTTTGTTGTCCAAGGGATGATCATTTTCATAATGAAAGATAACAACCCTTGGATTTATTTTTGTTTGCTTAGAGAATTTCACTAAAAAGTTGAAATATTTGACATATTCACAATTTAGCTCAACACTCATGTCCTGCCTTATTATTTCAATCATTTTATTACTCACTGTATTCTCTTTTTTGGATTCAATTGGAATGGTTAAGAAAGAAACAGAAAAAGTAAAATAAAAAAGTGTTTTTTTTTCCAAAAAGAATGGTATGAAAGTAGATTTTTATACATATAAAGGTAGTACATAATGACTTTAAAGGTTTTTTCTTCATTTTTCACCATCTAAATATTCAAATAGAATTTTTGCAGTCGTTTTGGTTTCGAATTTTTTTTTAAATATAATATATAGCACTTTGTATATAATATATAGCTCATACTGTTTGTATAACTAGTGTGAAAGAAAAAAGTCTAAATAATTTTTTTCATTTATCGTATAAATTAAGAAAATAGTGACTAAATCTTAGTATACGTAATTTAGAAGAAATTGGAGATAGTTTAGGAGTTGAATTTGTTTTATTGAAGAGATTTTGAAGTTTTAGTTCTTTAATTTTTTTTTCTTCAATTTTGCATGTTTTTCTACAAGAAAAATGCGTTAAAAAATTATAAAATCTTTGTTTACATCTCAAAACTCTTCAAATTAACATAAACTTACTTCAAAACTACTCTCAAATTAATAAATAATGATAAATTGTATACAAAATCTAATTACAGTTCAATAGAAAAAAAAACAATCATTACAAAATTCACAAAAAAACGAGGAAATTTCAACAAAAACCACTTCAAATTCATATAAAATTCATTACAATCCTGTTTCAGTTATGATTTTGTCTTGTTTAATTTATCAATCACATTTGCTATTTTGAAAATACTATCCTAACTACATATTCAATAATTTTAACTCAATTTTAATGTGGAACTTGACGAAATTTCCTCAAATAACAACAACAAGATAGAAAAATCATCAAAAGCGATATAATTTTAAGTAATCGATATTAAGTAACTGCGAAAATTAGATAAACAACCGCACATTTAACATAAATTATATAGGATTTACCAATTGGATATTAAATTAAAGTTTTTTTAACCATCAATTTCTTTTGGGTGATTTTAAGTTCTGATTTTGATTTTGAATTGATGTGAATTTTGAGAATTTAAATATAAGTTAATTTACTCAGGTTTGGTGATATTTGAAAATTACTTATCTGATATTGGCAGATTTTTCATGGCATCTTAATTTTGAATTTTAACTATGTTTTTAAATTTGATTTTTAAGTTTTTAAAATTTGAATTTTAACGGATTACTTAAGTTTAAATATAATATTTTAAATCTAGTACTTTTGTGACTTAAAATTATAATTTTATTTCCGATTCAATTTTGTGATTGGAAGGAAGTTTTTGTTTATTATCCTAATTTATCTTTCAAAAATCTACAAAAATTCACATTCAAAATCAGAACCTAGAAATATGAATTTTTTAAATTTGTTATTTTCTTAGAGAAATTTTTATCATCATTTTTAAATCTTTAAATTGATAGTGGCATCTATGAAAGATCATTAAAAATATTTTTTTTATCTCATCAAATTTTCTAAAGCTTTTTGAATTTTTCTTTTTTTTCATCTTAAATGTATTTTTTATGTATATATATGAAAAATCGTGCGTTATTATATGAACAAGATTTTTTATAAAGATTTCTTTTTTCATATCCAATTTTTTTTATACCTTATTTAAAATTTTTTTGTGCTGATTATAAATAATTTAATTTTTTCCATATTTTCATCAATATTTTTCATTTTAAAAAGATTTTTTTATTTCCATTCCGTTTTGTATTAAAAGGAATGTACAGTAAACTTAACTTCAAGTGTTTTTAAAAAAGATTTTTTTTACTATTCTAGTTTCGCAGAGATAACTGGCATTTTTTAGTAGAATTTTAAAGATTTAAGACTTTTCATATTCAAGGAAAAACAACTTTGAGGTTAAATCTGTCTATGGCACTAGATTTTCTTTAAAAAAATCATTTCAGTCATTGAATAACTTACCTCAATGAGCTATAAAAATTCTTGAAAAGCGAATTGAATTTTTAAAAAAAGTTCAAGAATTTTTACACAGCTTGTTGACTTTCCTTGATTCCTCCCGAGAAAAATTCTTTCAATTTAAGTTAAAAAATATTAAAAGTTTCTCGCTTTCTTTTCGCATGTTAAGCATAAATTTTTTCATTTAATATTTTTACTTGATTTTTTTTTTTGGACGGTTGAAAGCTCACTTTTAAAAATTTTACAAAACGAAAGGAAAAATGATTGGAAATTTTTTTTTAAATTTTTTTTGCTAATGGTCGCTGACAAAAGATTGATCTCGTTGATGTTCTTGATACGCAAAATTTATTTGGTATGCCTAATGATGATCGCTCTGCCTCTCGTTTTCGGCCTTTCTCTGTCTTTCTCTCTGCAACCTGTGAATTTTTTTTTTGAATTGAAAAAGTAATTTTTAAGAAATTTTATTAAAGAAAAATGCGCAAAAAACTTTAAATTGACTCAAAACAACAGCTAGATCAGCTGAAAGCATTCTGTGTCTTCCAAACAAAACTACAAAACCAATTTGTAGAAACCATAGTAAATAATTAATCGAGGAAAGAAATCTACTTATAAATTTGCAAATCTTACCACACGAATATCCGAAAAACTTTTTATTTATGCATGATTAAGGGAAATAAGTAGATTTAATTAATTTCAATTCATTCTAATTCTCACAATAAAAAAAAACTTTCTGTGCCTTTAGCATTGAGCATGAAACACAACAAGACATAATTTTCTCATAAAAAATATTATAAACCAGAGATACTCACTTGTTCTTAGCGGTTAGCATGAATTGTTGAATTTTTCTTGCTGCTTGATTCTGTGTACTTTGGGAATATGTTCGCTTTAATCCAGTTATATTTGTTGGTGTGGGTTCCTTAATTTCATTTGCACTCAAATATTGCTCATTGTTTCTGCCGTCATCATCGAGAGATTCGTCTTTTGATGGAGCATCAGATGATCCATTTGACGTCTTGATGCGCTTTTTGCTCTCACAATATGATCGAAATTTATTTTGAATCACTGCGAAATTTGAAGGTTATTAAATGATATTTAAGATGTCATGATTGGTACTTACCTAATGCTGCATTTGTCATCTCACGATAATAAGCATATTCCTTATATCGACGGTAATAATTTTGAATTATTACGGCAGCTGAACGCTCCTTATCCTGTTCTTCCATCTTTTTTCTTCCTTTATATGTTCGATATGCCTTTTGTATGCACTTTGCAGCTTGATATAATTCACGCTGCTCATTATCCGTAAGCGTAAGTTGAGAGAAATCAGATTCAAAAGCATGTGAGACTGGATTTGATGCTTCAAAAAATTGTGTAAAATCTTGCGTTGTAACTGGAGGACTTCGTGGATGATCCGACAATTGACCACATGAGTAAGGACTCTGTAGTGGACCTGAACTGGCTGGACTTGAGCATGGCGTACGACTTTCCTCGTACCGATAGTCTTCAAGTTCAAAATGCTCAACAAAATTTTGATCAAAATTTGAATCCATAAAGGAATCATTCAACAAATCATTCATTCGTGTTGAACTGGTTGTGTCGTGGAAGGATTTATCTAGATCCATTGCCATAGAATCATCAGATTCATTTTTGATGTGATTTGGTAGTGCTGCGATGATCTGTCGACATAATTAATATTTCAAGAACAATAAGGCCATTTAATGAATTCTTTATTTACCTTTTCAGCCAAATTTAGAACCTTAACATTCGGCTCGTCTGCGAAAATAGATAGTTAAAATATTTTTGATTTTTAGAATAATTCATAAGTTCACATTTAGCTTATAAATTTATACTAAGTACACAAAATTTACACTCAAAAATTTATTCACACACAAATGTACATAATAATTGTATTAAAATGATGATTTCTATGCAATCAGCGGTTTCCACTAAATTTTAGATTTATTATAGACACATATATGGATAGATATAGATATAGATACACCTCATAATGCTGAAAAGTATATACACACATAACATAGGTTTCTAAGTGTCAGGATAAATATTAATTAGAATGGAATTAGACTAAGAAACATAATTTTATGGTTTTTGAGGATTAAATTCTTTTCTTGGTCTAGTATGAGATAGATAAGTTCATTATAAATGAAGAAGCATACACATAAGCAAAAGTATCACACATTAAGTATCATAATTTAATTGTAATTACACAATAATTATACACAAATAATGTAATTTAAGATGTTTATGTACACATTATAAAGTTATAGATTCTCTATGAAATTAAGAAGGATGCTTATTACACAAATTAACTTACTAAATTAAACATAATCAATTTATGTAGTTTTAATCCTTGTAAGAATTTCTTGCTGTCGTAGAGTCGCCAATTTAAATGCCAGTGAGTTTTAAAATTTTCGTGTAATTCGAGTAAATTTCATTTTGCGCTAAAAAATTTAAATTTTAAACAAGTTTTTTTAAATCTCTGAAAGTTTCTAGCTACTTTGTAAGTGTTCAATTTTTCAAATTAATTTAATAGCTTATTTGAACAAAATTGAACTAATATTTTTGACTAAGAAGCACATTAATTCAAAATTCCCAACAATGTGACATAAAATGTACTCCTGGCACTTTTTTATCAAACCTAAATAAGCTTGAAATTCCTTCAAGGTGAACTCAAAATAATAACTCAACTTAAACTTAGAAATTTTAAAAAATAAAGCCTTATTTCTAAAATAAATATTTGTCTCGTGAAAAATAAGCTACAAAACACACTGATAGTAAGATAAATCAACACAATACTCAAAAAAAAAACAGTTTGCTAATAGTAATATACATGCTTGTCTCTTGTTCACCAAAAACAAAACTATATAAAAACTAACCTATCGGTTTAGTTTTTTCGCATATAATAAAATCATCAGATAATGAAGAATTACTTTGATCTTTATCAGTATGACCTAGAATTGAAATTTAACTTATATTATCTTCAAAAATAAATTAATTTAAAAACGAATTCATGAATTTCGGGACATTTCAGAGTTGGTGATGACGGTGAATTAGGGTTTTTGAATATTTTGGCGTCAATTTAATATGAATCTTTTGATAAAAATGAAATTTGAACCAATAACCACCCCAACTCTGACATAAATACAAAAAAGAAATAATAATAAAGGATCTAGAAACTGAGAATGTTCATATATTTCCATGTGACTTTAAATGTTGCTTATTGTATTTCTTTCTGTACATACAAAACTATAAAATTTGCGTGATTTTGTGATTTATCGCGGTTTAGATGTATTTTATACATAGAATATGTCTATTGAACAATAGAATGACACTTTTAAAATTTATTTATGTATATTTTAAAAATTGGAAGTCGGTCAATAAGTTAATTTTGTGCTGTTGACACGTTAGTTATTCCGTCGAGAGAGATTAAAAATGTTTAATGTCTAGTTTGTGCTTTTAATTTATAATTTCAGAAATAGAAATAGTTGGTAAGGAATAAAGATAGTTTGTATGTAGAAGTATTAATAAAAAAAAGGGAAAAATTCATGAAAAAATCAAATTTATACTTACAGAATGTAAAATCAAACTTCCTCATTGGTGACAATAGAGAGTTGTTGGATGACGAGGATACTTGTTGAAATCCACTTTGTGATGACTCTTGATCGGATGAAAATAAATCGATGTCACTATATGTAACGGGTAATGACATGCTACGAGATTTATGATCACGCTTCGTTGTTTCCAATATGTTCTGATAATCTCCCTTCCGATGTAAACTTCCCAACGACGAATTAATTGTTTCCGGATGAATAAACACTTTATCGTTAAGTTCCTCATCGTTCAAATAGCTCTCATCGTTGACATTACAGCCATTGTTAATTGTTTTACATGGACTTGTAAGAAAACTGCTTTCTTGGATGTTCTTTATTGATATTACAGTTGTAAGCTCATCAGCCAATTTCATGTAACTATTTAAGAATGGGAAATGCATTATTAACAATTAAAGAATAAGTTGTTGAGACAATCAATTACCCATTAGTGTTACAAATGTCTGAAGCTGTCTTGTTTGATTTATTCTTTATCAGCAATGATGATCGATCATATTTAAGAAGCAGCAAAGCTGTAAAAAGGCACGTTTTTGTAATAAAAGTCATGGGCTGAGAGCATATCAACTTTAGTCATAAACGTTTGTTTCCTCAATCAAAAGTCAACAAAAGTTTAACAGATTAAAAGTCAATCTTACCAGCATCATAACAGCCATTATCACAAGCAACCATCAAAGCCGTATTCCCATCATCATTTTGCGATAAAGGATCGATTTCATCACGAACGACTTTATTTGAACTTTCCATTCTCCATCCAAGTAGTACCTCAATCAATTTAACATAGCCGAGATAGGATGCCAAATGTAGTATTGACATTCCATTCACTTTCTTTTCACAAATCGATGAGATCTCATGTCGTTTTAAACTATTTGTGTATGTTATTAAGCGATTCTCAAAATCTGGATCTGACTCGAAAATATTTACATTATCGTTCGATTCCTCTTTGATTTTATGCGTTTGATTATTTTCCATTGCCTCAAGTCGATGAAGTAAACTGAATTTATATAAAATCTCAAAATTTCGATATTCATATTTTGGTTGCATCCGATACTCAAAGTCAATTATGTTTGATACAAGAACACCGTCGCTGACACAAACTTTTGCAACTCCAATTTCATGTTGTGGTGCGTAAACGCGCAGAACACCATTTTGTACTGTTGTCGCCTTGACTGATATATTATCAAAATAGACTGTATAGGTTGTGTCTAAACTCCATGGACCAGTAATCAATACTTTCATGCCACCTTCAACATACGACCAGTCGGGACAAAATTCTGTTATATTAAAATTATCCGTCTTTGACACAAGATGATTTCGTGCTGCCTCAAGCTCATCTAGCTCAACTGGCAACTCCACAAGCATATCAAATGCATCTAAATTAACAAATGTATCATCATCTGTATTTGAACAATTTTCAATGAAATTTATGGCATTCATAGACTCTTCATTACGATGATTTGGCATATTTGCACTGAGTGTTTGCTGTATGTCTTCTTGAGATAAATCAAGTGTTGTATTATAAGTAAAAGATTCTTCTTTCTTATCATCATGACCACTTTCTTTTAGGGTATTTATTGAGGTTTGCTCCTTTTTGATGCTACTTTCGTTGTCCATTTCACGTTCATGTTGAAGAAGATATTGTGGTGATTGTGTATCTTGAGATAATGAATGTTGAATCTGTGGATCAGACATAGACAATCAGAGGTAGGCACAATAAATATACATATGTATGATAATATAAAGGAGCTTCTAGGCTGTGGTATCTTTCGAAATTTATATTTTTGAACCGTCAATATAAATTTGAATTTCTGCATCTTTTAACGCTTAAAAATTCAAATTTTTGATGACTGATAAAGAATGTTAAGTAGGTACAGAGCACAAACCCACAGATTTCCATCTTATTTAATTGCATAATCAGCATCCTAATATTAAATATTATGACACTAATTTACCTGACACAAATCTAATGGAAGTGATGTATCAGATGATATATTATTTCTAGTTGCTTGTTGATTATATGAAATAGCCTTTTCATTACTATTTGAAGAGATATGTTCGTTAGACAAGTCAAACTTTTGATGACTGTCGTGATGCTGATGATGATGAAAGCTCATCAAATGATTCTCAATATTTTGATAATTAACATCTGTATTATCCTTCATACCATGTTCATTTATAATCTCACTATTATTACCACTAGAGTCAGCCATACCATCTATGCACATATATTATAATATAAATTTAGTAGACATAGAGAGCAGATGAGGGGAAGAGAAAGAGAAAGAAAGGAATGGGAAATAATGATGATATTTACTAATTGAAATTTATCGTTTTGTGACATACTCATAATGACATTATTATTTTTCATTGAGCCGTGCTGCTGACCAACATCGTTGCCAATTGGATTCAAAATACTGTTATTTGCTTTGCTTTGTATGTTATTTACATGTACATTGTAAATATTATTACTCGCTTTATTGCAAAACGATTGATTTGAAGTATCATGACTCATTACGTTGGCAGCAATCGTAGATTTCGATGAAAAGTCTCCCGATAAACCAACTTTTATATTCTTCATCGTTGATTGTGGCTTATCTTGTACTATACTTGTACTTATGTGTCTTTCCGAATACCATCGCTGATATGGTTGCTATTTTTAAAAAAAGAGAGGAAACGAGGATTAAGAAATAATTAAAATATTTTGTCTGTTTTCATTCTTTAGAGTTATGAATCATAGAATAATGTGTTGGCATGTAGGTTGTGACGTATTTCATCAGGCGTTTCTTATCCGTACCCTATATTATATATTATTTATTTGTCGACGTTACCGCCCGGAAGAATTAGTATTTACATATACATGTTTTACTTTTTACATTGATTAGTGATACATTTCATATCACTATGGGTGACGTAGAATCAAGCTTCTAATCTTCAAATCTAGGTTTCGATTAAATTCTGGCTCTCGTTTCAATCTTATGTGGGCGTGACGTGATACATTTCAGGTCCGTTCTGACAATAATCCATTATAAGGTAATCTTGTAGCTCTCGTTCCTATTTCTCCCACTACACTTCAAGTTCCTGATCCGTTCCTTAAACACTGGCTTTATACCGAGCACCATTGATTGTCAATAGTCTGAGCCTAGAAACCAGCCATTAACCAAGTTCAAGGTTTGACCTAGCACAACCAAGCACCCCATCCCCAATACTCTCAACAAACACACAACTTAATATCCAATGACTTACTTTTGACTCAAATGTATTGAAATTGGCATTTGAAACATGCTCAACGCTATCGGATCGTTTCAACATATCATTATAGCTTTTGGAATGAATATTTCGAGTTGTTGTATTGAAGGAATGCTTTCCGTTTGATACACAAGAAGATTCCGAACAATTTTGATCCAATTGCTTTACCAAAGCATTTTGACGAGCATTTCGCTGTTTCTCCATCAATTGAGCCACGATTGCCTCGACCGTTTCAGATGTTTGTGAATGCATTAACTTTATGTAGATTATTTTAAAGTCAAGAAAGAGAGAAAATAAGGAATTTATAAGCATTTTTCGAAAGACAAATAAAAGGCATTTTAGTCATGTTTACCGAATCAATATCACGAGACATTTCAGCATCATCTTCATTGAAGACTTTAAAAATGGAAAATACACACAAATATTTTTTGTGATATATAGTTAAATTATTTTTATCCTTAACATCCTAAATTATTATACATACACATTGGCTTTAATTGACTCAGCAATTCCTCTTTCGTCCATTCTTTCTTGTCATTAAACAGCAAAGATGGAGCGATTATGAGCTTATTATGTTGAGTTCTATCATCAGGATAAGGAACATTTAGATAATGTACAAGAACTATATCAGGATTCTGAAGTAACCAGTAGCAGCGACGATGGAAAGTAGGCAGAATAGCTGAATGAACATAACATCCGTAAATGCACTGTGGTGATGATGAAGGAAAGAGAAGAGTAGCAAAAAAAAAATGTTAAGATGAAAAATTATTTTGAAATATTACTCAAACTAGGATTAGTCAGCATTATAAAACATTATTAACTAACCTCAGTTCCCTGCACTTTTAGTTTCATATGATCTTCTCTCGTAGTTTTCCCATCTTTTCGCTTCTTCCAACAATATCCATCTCTACGATAACGTACTTTCTTTCGAGAATAGAGTAACATGGATCCACTTTTCGGTCTGTAAAGAAGAATGATTTTGTTAGCAACTTTTGAGCTCATTTACTGAGGATTTAGAGTTTGCATTTCGTCTGTCAATTTTGAGAGTAGAATAGCTGATATTTAGAATTATTACCTATCCAACTGTCTAAAGAATTATTAACAAAATATCCCTCAGTAGTAATGTAACTTTGGACTAGATATTGCGCTTTTGGAATGGACATATTCATCCTCATTCCATACTCGCAATTTCTCCTTTTTTTACTTTTGCAGTTTCGTAACAACTCTACTCTAATCTTCATGGATTTGGAAAAAGTGCACTTTTGAAAGAAGAAAAAAAAACCAAAAGAAATGAAAATCTTTTTCTTGGAGCTATGTCTATGCATTGAATTATTAACATTTCCCTCTTGTTTCATTTCATTTCATTTTACGGCATGTGAAATAAGAAATTGAATGAGAATGGAATGGGGTTTGAGAAAAAAAAGAACTAGAATGATAGAAATATTTTCGTAAATGTGGCCAAAAATTGGCTGAGAAATGTTAGAAATATGATAATTGAATAGGTATAAAAATTTTACCGATGAAAACTTTGATTAAATGAGCTCATTCTATCTTCAAAAATGATGATGAAAAGGTTTTGAAAGAAACTTTTAATATTTAATGAACTTTTTTTTTGCTTACCTTGTCTTCACTTCTTTCGATTGCCATTCCTATTTTTTACCGTTCAATAACAATGAGAATTGAAAAAGAAACAAAGCAAAGAAACAATCATCGATGTTATTATACAATCAAATTATAAATTCTGAATTATTTCTTCTTCTTACCGCATGCCTCTCAAAATTTATAAGAATGCCAGCAATTTCCTATAACGAGATGAACAAGTAATAAAAATTAAGAAGTGAATTTTCAAGGAAATTTATTACAAAATAAATTTTATCTCAATAAAAATATTTCTTTTCTTTTCTCTCTTTATTTGCCTAGAGGTGGAAACTTTACGCGTTACTTTTTACTTTTATTGAATTGATTCTTTTAAAAACTTTTGTTGACTTCTTGTTTGGTCTAATATCTTTTTGTTGAAAATTTTGTTTATTCTATGCTTTTCTTTAAAATTGATTTGAATGTGCTTGTGTTATTAAGTTTTATTTTATGTTTGTATAACTTGTTTAACCTCAAGTTACACTCTAGAAAGTCTAATAATTAAATTAAAGTTGATTTCGATGTTAACTGCTTGATTTCTGAGTTAACACTAACATTTGCAAAACAAAACAATAAAAAAGGGCATCAAATTCTTAATTTTAATTGAATTACAAATTTACATCTAAATCAATAATAGCTTATGTTTTTTGGCAAGATTTATCACAAGAACTAGTTTCCATCTCTAGATACTTAAAAAAAATTCCTTCAATATTTTTCGCATTAATTTACAGTATCAGAAAATATGGGTAGAGAATAAAGAAAAAGTAGCGAAGGAACTAATAACAATATTGTAGCAAAACTATTGAGAGATATTTTACACACATAGCATATAATAAAATAATAAAAGGACACATAAAGATATATTTGAAGATAAAAGTTATATAGAAAGAGTAATAATTTTCCCTTAACATACTGACTAAAATGTTATTATTACCTCATTTGTGTTCCAACGATGACGTATACTTGGAAAATGATCTGCTTTTGGCAACGTTTCGAGATTTTCAGGAAGTTTAATAGGCTCGCCATCTTTAAGTAGAGAGGAAGAAAGAAAAATAAGAAGAAATATTTTATTTTAAAGGCCTTCCTTCATTTTTAGTGCTGTTTTTCATGCTTAATGCTTAAAGGATGACTGTTATAATGAGTTTTTCTTAAAGATTAGACAAAATATAAATGTATGTTGAATTCGATAAATTTTAAAATCAGCTCAGTGGAATCAATGTTGATATTTTCAAGGATGAGAGTTTTTTTTACTAGCCAGGATGGTTCCTTTTATTGAAATAGATTGGCATAGCTTTGTAATATTGCATGCGTTTTTAGAAATGAGGCAAGCTGTATCACGGCAGCTTAAACATCACCTGGAGTTAAGGATACCTAGTGAAAAACAATATTTAGGTAAAGGCACTGCTTACTTTTAGACATTGGTAACATTTTTTGACTGTCTCTAAGCACTTAGATTTGGGTTTTTATGGCAACATTTATAATATTCAACTAAGCTCTCATTGGATTGGTGGTTAATGATGTCGATAAAGGGCTAGTTTCTTGTCAAAACCAGTCGCAGTACAACATCATTTATATCCCAAATTTTAGTACATTTTTTATTACAATTTTTGATTCTGAAGGCAATATAGGGTGCCACGGATAGCCCTAGAAAATAGCCCCTGTCCCTAATATTTTCTTCATTTAGAAGACTCAAACTCATTTTTTTATAAAAAAAAAGGTTTAAAGTAAAAAATTGATAAAGATAATCAGGTAGACAAAAAAATTCAATGTAACAACTGATAAATAAGAACCCATCCCCAAATAAGCTAATGCACATAACTCTTTTTACACGGAAGTAAAGCGTCTACCAATTCTCTTTGTAATATTTGACTTCTTTACGGAAGCAATTCAAGGTGTAAAATTATTTACCAACGATTTGTCTTTAAATAGTATAAGGGCACATTAAATAGGTTAAGAACCAACAATTTTATCATCATACAAACACAAAAGTCTCAAGTAGAAATGTAGAAAAATTTATTACAAGTAAATTAAATTCCCTCAGCCCTTGAATTCCTCAAAAAAAAATAAATTTCATATTTGATCTCATAAAGAAGCCAGCAAGTTAAACAAGTCGATGATGGTTATGATGATAATAAAGGCAACAATTTAAATTACGTGATTTTTATCATCTCCTCACTAGTTTTATCTACATTCCTTTCTACACACTGAGTCAGGTGTCTGTCTACATTCCATATTTATCTCTCTTACTGTGCCAGGTGAAATTTTTCATCTTCTTTTTTTTTGGCAAGTACTAGTTCATATTATATGTGTAGAGATTTGAGAGAGTCAGAAGCTAAAGAAGAAGATGAAAAAGGATGAAGTTCTTCAAGGATCAGATGTTAAATGAATGAATGTAACACATTATAAATTCCATTCAATTTTTCCCAATTTTATCACAACTATAATGTGTACTATAAAACTGACTAAGAAGAAGAAGGAGACGATGATGATGATAATAAAAGATATGTATGCACATATTATGTATAATAAAAAAATTGACACTTGGCGCATGGATGGACCACAATTTCTTGTTATTATTATTATTGGTATAAACTCAATGTCAAGCAAAAATTTGTCTTTTTAGGACTTAATAATCTGAAAATGTTTTTGGTATGTTTTTTTTTTGTGTGTGTAAAGAGTCACATAGCTTCCATAAGTTTATGATAATATTGCCTCGGATGAAAGTGTCAAAAAATTTATATTGCACTTTATAGTTGTGGAACTTAAATTATTAGCCTTTTTTTTATTTCCTCCCCACAAGCGAGTCTCATTTTTTATTGAGTGGCAATATTGTAATGTCAATTATTATATTTTTTATTGTACAATATTTTGCAAGGATTGAATGTAAAAGGCAATGAAATGACTAACAGAGAGAACGAGAGTAAGTTGTTGAGGATAAAGAGAAGATATAAGGAAGGAATATGAAATATCCTCAAAGGGGCCTTACAAGACGACAACGGAGATACGTTTCGTTCTTCTTTATAGTTTTTTGTCGTAAAAGATCTCTTTTACTTCAACCATATTTAGCAATTGCTAAAAAAGACTCGTCGTCGTCGTTCGTCCCTTATTTTTTATGTCTCTCAAGACAATGAATAATAAATGTGTTAATGTATACTTTAAAGTGTTTTTACCAAATTTCATGTGACAGTTCAATAAAAGGATATTTAATAAGAAATCACTTCCTTTTACTTAGCTTAGTTTATTTTATGTGATCTTTCCTTATTGCTTCCTTTTTATTTGAGATACTCGGCTATATTTATTTATTTTCCTTTGTAACACTAACATGAATGAAGATGAGCTAGATAAAAAAAATTGTAAAAAGGAAGCGAATGACTGCGATGATAAAACAGGAAAGTATTAAATTTTCTGGTGTACTCAGATGGAAAATTATAGTCGGAAGAATATTTTTAATGAAATTTTATAAAGGATTTATCTAGTTCCGAAATGTCATAAAAATTAATTAGAAAGTATATTTGAAATATTGTGACATTTAATCAAAATTGTTTTGCTAGGAATTTCGCTAGCTTTTCAACTTTAAAGGATAAATTGACATTTTATTTTCAAAATTTGATGGATTTTCTGCTTTATTATTGAAACGCGTTTACGTTTTTGCATCAATTGAAGCTTAAATATATGCTCTGCGTCCATGACGATTAATGAGCTCTATTCTATCAAATTAAGCAAAATTAAGAATTTCTGAATTAAAATTTTATTTATATGCAATAACTTTACTAAAATTCGTTTTTTTCTTTCTTAGTTTCAGTTTTAAAAAGGAAAATACTAGCATCAAGAGTCCTTAATATCCAAAAATGCCCCACTGCCTAAGAGTTAAAACCAGTATTGAAATTTATTTAACCAAATTTGTTCCAGTTTTGTTCAAATTCAAGAAAATTTTTGAATATTTTTATTAAAACTCTAAGTGAAAAGCTAAAATAAACAAGAATAAATCTTCTGTATCACTATCAGCTATTATAATAGGAACAATTACTTCCGAGAATGTAATCAACAACCCCCAAATCCATCAGTAAAGTTCCAGAATTCTTTATTATAAAAAAATAATAATTAAATTTTCATGAATAAATATGGGAGAAGTCCATAAAATTATAATCATTCAGAGTAAATAAAGAAAAAAAAATTATGAATTATATTTTGAGAGCTTAAACTATCCAGACATGCAAAACACCAATTAATTAACATTCCAAAAACTCCAATGAGTCGAAAAAAAATATATCAACAGAAAATGTAAAGTTAATCCAAGTATACTAGCCTAATAAAATATGTCAAAAATGAGGAGAAGGATGAATGGATATAAAGAATTGGTTTGTCGTTTGTTTAATAATTCAATTCTTATATAATATAAGAAAATAAAAAAAAAGAAATCTCCGATATAAAAATTGTGTTGTGAATTTATACTTTCATAAATAATGCACTAAAATAAAGAGCATCACAGTTTCAGAATATAAAATAACACTTGGAACCATTGCCGCCGTCGAAAATAAATGACGTCGACGAAAACTTTTCTTTTGGCATTTTCCTTTATTTTCTTTCCCCTTTTCCTTTTCTTCTCCTGAAGACAAGACTTGTTCTGGCTTTTTTGGATGTGTGTACATCATATCATGCACATGAGGAGAGAAAAATGATAAACGTAATGACATTTTCTCTTGCCTGAATAGCACACGATGTAACACATTTTATTATATATATATGATAAAAACACATAACGAATGATATAAAGTCATAAAAATAAAAAGGAATAAAGAGTTGGCAATACACTATGCAATATTGCAATATTGTAAATACTTATAATAATGTATGAAGAATAAATTCGTTTCTTTTGAAAAGTATATTTTTCACTTTTCTCCATATTATTTGCCATTTTCACAAATTAACCTTAACAATTTCCCTTCTCATATCATTTAAACATTCCATTTTTCGGTTTCAATCCGGTTTCGACTTCACCTCCTCCCTCGCTTCCCTCATTTATCCTCTTCTCTTCTTTTTTAAAATGTTTGCATACACGAAAATCATTTACAATTTATTAAAAAAGAAAAGCAAAAAATAAATGTTTATACCTAAAACTTACAGCTAGCCTTCCCCATATTTTGCTTTGTATTCATACCGTAAGCCGCGTGTGTGATGACATGCAAACTATAGATTCACTTCTCTTGTATTATTTTTTAATTTTATTGCATTTTATAAGAGACAATTTAAATGCAAAACGAAAATTGTCACACATGAGCATTTTCATTGAATGGTTTAGTGCTGTGGACTGATTGGCATTAATTGCTGTTAAACATCAAGTAAAGAGTGTAATCTGATTGTGGGTAATGTTATTTTGGGTTTGGTGCTTTATTGGTCATTAAAATTTTGATTTGGTTGGATTTGTTTTGGATGCAGATTTGGTTAACATTCAATAACATTTCTCAGTAATTTATGTTGGCACATGATAAGTTTAATTTGATATCCCATGATTTTAATCGGTTGTGTGTCTCTTGTCTATTAGGAATTTTATATAATACATAAATGAAGAATCCTTATACGATAAGTTGCAGTTTCCTGACTAGCTGACTTTACTCTTGCCCTGACAAAAGTGTCATAATATGGTCATAATCCCAAGAAATAGCTTTACTTTGATTATAAATAATTCATTTAGTAAGTGACTTAGGGTAGGATCCCCTTGATACCTGTTCCAATACTAAATAGATATCAAACCTTTCAATGAACTTAGTCTCGCAAAATAAAATAGATAATCCAGATCAAAAATCTCTAAAGCACCCACGGTGTGAATATCCTTCATCAAACCTTTCATCCCCCACATGGAAAGTCTTTATTTCATTGTTTGTGGAAAAGCAATTCACAAAAGAAGAAAAAGTCAAAAATCCTTTATTCAAAATAAAAAAAAAATGCATAAAACTTTTAGCACGCTCGCTTTGACTTTTTAAACTTTCTTTCCATTTTTTTTTTCTTTAACTTCTTCCATCTCTCTCGCCCACTTTATAGGTAAAAAGCATTTATACTCTTTTGTTATTGTTATAAAAAAATAAGCAGAAGAGATAATACACAAAAATATTTTTGATATAGATATATGACCGAATAAAGCTCTTCTTCAATTATATTATGAACTTGCATTCTTCCCCTCGTTTTTGATTTTTTAATGCATTCTTCTGAATGAGAGAGTTGATTATGTCCACACTTTGTCTTGTGAATGTCACCAACGAATCTCATTGCTAGAATAACTTATTGTTATATGTTTGTTTTTATAATAAAGGAAGTAATTCAATTTAATCTGATAGTGCAAGATTCCAGAAATATTAAAATCGTTGGAGCAAGTCACTTCCTTTTCTGACAATTGTACAAAATCAGATTAACTGGAAGACGTCATTTAGAGGTTGTTCACTTATGACGTCCATAATTAACGGTCATTTTTCAAAAAAGAACAATGGAATTCCAGGAATTTTTATTGTTCTTTTCTTGCTGACCCCCCTGGACGTCATAAGTGAACGGTCCCTTAAGAATTTAGGAAGACCATTTAAGAAAACCATTTACTATGGGTCCTCGATTTGAATAGGATTCTTCTGGAACAAAACACCTACTCAAATCGAGGACCCCAGTATTGTGAAGTTTAAAATTGCTTCGAAAAGTCAACAAAATTTCAAGGCAGAACCGTAGCCATCAATGTTTTGTAGGATTTCTGGTTACTAATCCACTTCTAAATTAATTTCGCCCTTCTTAGTAAAATTAGGATTCGCCCTTAAATCGAGGCAAAAATTCAAATCTCTGACAAGGCAGAAAAAGGCGCCTTAATTCCACATATTCACAAAAGTTACTACTTATATTTCTTCTGCCCTCTCTTCCTCTTGTTCCCGAGTCAGCTATGTATCTCTCTTTTGCCGAACTGCACTAAATAATCAACAACAACAGAAAGAACATAATTTTTTGATCATAATAAAGTTGCTGATGTAACAAAAGCGCACATTTTATGTGGGAAAAATATTTTTTTTTGTGCAATCAAGACATAAATTTTCATGATTTATGGACTTGCTTTGAAGTTTAGTATTTTGTATTTAATCTGTTGTTATTTGAAGAAAAAAAATCTATTCGAGGAATAAGCGAAATTAGCAAAAGGATATGAAAGCTCAGATCAATAAATATTAGCTCGTGATGACCAATTTCTCAATTTGTACACGCTATTATAATCTTTAATTTTAGATTTGACAAATCGTTTTGGGATCTTGGAAATGTTAAATTTGGAAGAATTTTAATTTAAGAATTTTTTGTTGAAATCAAAGTTTAAATAAACTAATTGTTAAGTTACAAATTTGTAGCAATTTCTATAATTGAGTTTAGAAAAATGTTCTGAAACTACTGACATTGAAGGTTCGAATCCTATTTGAAATTATGAACAGAGTTATGTGAAGTGTCGACTTCTAAATTTTTGTTTTTCCTTCTTTTTATCGAATGAACTTACTGGCATTAAGCGGTATACTCGAGGAAACATTCACATGTTGTCTACCGGTATGCGGATGAAGCTGATAATGATGATATTGTTGATGATGTTGCCCGAGATAGTGTCGCGATAAGATATGATAATTAGAATTTTGAATCTGTTGATTTTGAGATTGTAGTTGAAATCGCAAGCCCTGATGATTGTGCTGTGAAGGCTGTTGCGATATATCATGCTTATAATGGTGATTATTTGCTAACATATGAGACGCAGCCGATGGAGTTGTTTGTGTTGTGTATGATATTTCATCATTCATTTGATAAATTGAACACTGATCCATGCTATTGCTCCAGTTTGCCATTTATATCCAATATAAATATAACTTTCAAATATGTTTCTGTTACTTTTTTGCACTAAACATGTTTTCTTCTCGCATTTAGTGTCTTTATGTATGTTTGTTTTATGCTTTTTAACGTTGTATAAAAAACTCTTTTTTTCTCAACTTTATTTTTTATTGCAAAAATACTTTACGCATTTTCATCTGTGTTTTATTATTTAAAATAACTTATCTCTTATCTTTTTTTTTGGAAGCACACTTTGAGTTTTCTTTTTTTTAATTTTAGAGCTTTTAACTCTTTCACCTTATGACTTATTCACTTATAAAAATTATATTATTTACAATAAACTTTTAATTCAGAAGCACTAAGTTATTGCTTATTAGATTTATTCTCATATGACTAGTACGATTAAAACTCTTATTTTTTTCGTTTGTTTGTATGTCAGATTGTGTGTAACCAAATGAATGTATTTTGCTCACATACGACCTTATTAGTCAGTCGTTAAACAAAAACTGAATGTATATTGAAATATTATTATTATTACTATTATGATATCACGCAGAAGATAGCTGTTATCTTATCTTCAAATTTGCGTCAATTCAGAGCCACAAACGTAATATTTTTTTATTTAGTCTCTCATTCTCCAGTGTGAGAACAAGTTGGAATTTGTAGGACCTAGAGTTTGGCAAGAAGCGCATTGAATATTTAATCAGGACTTTAGTCACATGGTAGGGAAGTAAATGAGAATCACACAAAATTATAATAGAAATTCGGACTACAATTAAGTTAATTCAATCAAATTTGAATATTTTATGGTTAACAAGAATTAGAGTGTTTTGTGTTGTGTTTTAGGAAAGAAGAAGAGATTCTCAATGTCAAGTGATATGACCGGAAAATAACACTAAGTTTAGTTCGTTCCTTTCAAGTAGTTCTACAATTTAAGAGTAGAACTAAAGTTTTGAAGCGAAACTAATCTTGAATTTTTATCAAAAGGGACGATTAACTAGTTCCATTTTACAGGATTTTCCATTAAGTTGTGATTTAACTCAGAAAATCCTATCGGCTTATACAATGCTTGAGAAACATTTCTGTTATAAGTAATACTCCTAAAGTTTTTACAAATAAGTCTAGCAGCTTGCTCAACTAGCAAATTTAATCATAATCATCTCATTAATCGTAAAACGATTAAGAATTTATAATTTTTGATCAACTTTTGTCTGACACACCAATGAAGATAACTGACTAGAACCTTTATCGACAACTGAATTAAGGATAAAGGATGTTACAATAACAACTATGCAAGTGTGAATTTAATTTAACAAAAAAATATTAATTTGAATTAAAAGCACATCCCTTTGAAATAACTAAATCTCTAATCCTATTCTCAAGAATAAACGTTTTGCATTAAATATTGAGGATTAAAGTCAAATAGACCTTTTGGTCCTAAACAAACTCATGAACTTACTGTAAATAATCGTATTATTGTCGACTCATTGTTGTCCATAAATACTATCGACAATTCAAAAGAAATTTTTTGATAAAAGTTTACACACTTAAGTATGTCTTGAATTCAGATATTATGAAACGTGCCTTAAATCATTTATTGTGAATGAATTGTACATATTTATAGAAATGGATTATTATCTTTTGATGGGTGTGTGAACATTTTATCGAAAGCTTTTGATCAAGTCGTTGATTCTGATGATCATGTGGAAGAAGTTTATTAATAGGATGGGATTTAAATGTATTTAATTTGAGGGAATTCCATGGTGATTCTCAATATTTTTTTGATAAGATAAGTAAATAGCCTGATTTCTTTGAAGAATTTGAGAGAGTTGTGTTTTACATTTAAGTCTTGTGCTTTTCAAAATTGGAATGATTGATGTTTTAAAGTTCGTTTCATTACTTCAATATGTTTTCAACTAGATTATTCTCAATCAGTGTTTATCTCCTGCTTATTTTATTATAAGATTTTAATTCTTAAGATTTATCATTTGATATAATGTTGCTTCTAAGTAAGCACGAAAACAACAGAATTTTTTACATCAAGTGACCCTTTTCATCCCCATAAAATGTATCCCCATACTGATCTTACTCCAAAATCTACAAAAGCTATGAATTCTTAATCTTTAAAAAAAAAGTTTGACTAGAATTTATGCGAAGAAAGTTTGCATTCGATGCACAGACACAAAGAATACTAGAATTCCCACTGGATTGTCTAGTCATGTCCTTTCTTTGAATTCATTAAGGATCGTCCGTGAATAATTAACACCAAGAAATCAAATTTAAAAAATCACAGTCAGTCGACCAAAGTGAAGGAAATGACTGAAATATTTGCATGACATAATGTTGTCGACAGAAAGCAGAATTTTCCGTGCTGATCACTCTCTTAACATTTCTTTCCTCTTTTTTTCGGTGTATATATCATATTAATGGAAAATAATTAAATTGTAAATTGTAATTTCTCATTTATGTTCCTCTCTATTATGTGACTACCTTTTATTTTCTAGCTGTGTGAATTTTATTATTATTTATGTTATACACACTCTTATATTATATTTTTTTTTCTGTGATTTTCATTTACGTTTCGTGTATATCATCTGCAAAACAATCATTATTATCAATATTTTAGTCATTCATTCTCATGTAACACAGTGTACAGTTGGAATTTCATTTCATAAATTTGTTAAAATAATACCCTCGGATTAACATATGCGAAGGCGGTTTTTCATAATTAATATTTGAATAATATTATTCAAATTAGATGGTTATAATGTCAATCCATTTCATGCTATTTTCAAAATATAATATTATTATTATTATTATTTTTTATTCATTCACGAGTAGCACGAGTATGATTTATGAAATTTCGACTTTTTGTTTTTTATTTATTTATTTTTTGTGGATTCGCACTGTCCATTTTTTTTCTTCTGTGTTGTTCCCGGAGTGTCTTGTCTTGTTTTGAAACGGAAATGCACTTTTTTTATACTACTCTCTACAGTTATATTTATTTTTTACAGTTCAACATTTAAAATGCCACTACAAACACCTAAACTTTGAAAACAATGTCATAACTTAGGGATGAAACTTATACACTGCTTAGCTACTTGGCAACACATTATTTATTTTTTTTTTTTATTTTCATATGTACACACTCATTTTTTTCTTTATTATTCTATCTAAAACACCTAAACGCATGACGTAGGAATTACACAAAAAGAGACAACTTTCTATAATTATTTTGTTGTATTTTTAGAAATTAGGAAGAAAATCCTTTAACTAAATAGAAAATAGTACAGAGATACATATAGACCGACAAAGAGAAAATTAAAAACTAAAAGTTCACATCCTTATAGTGCGAGTGAACTTATGAAACTAAAACATCGTCGGGATGCATTGCACGAAAAAAAAAATATATAACATGACTCTAAAGAATGTATGTAAGTAAGCACAAAAAAAGAATGTGAACATTTTCATTGAATTTTGTAGAACTTCGTGCTTTACGAAAATATTTTCGTCTCTTTTCCACCGTCCTTAGGCACATTCGGGTTAATGTTGTTGTTCATACTCCTATAATAATATGAATACAACATTTTCGTCCGACTCTCTCTCACTCTCTTTTGGTCTCTCAACTGTGTATTTTTATTTTCGCTATATCAACGATATTCTTCTCGACTATACTCAACTACTCAGCATGCATATGGTATAACGATGTGAAAATATTCTTGTGCTTTTCACTAAATAAAGTGTTAATAAGTTGACATATGTGAAGCTAAAGATATTTGTCACAAAAAATTATTTTCCTCTTTTCTCTCATAATTTTGATTACATTTTTTTTCTTTCCATGCTTCCCTTTCTTCCTTTTGCTTTTCAGGACAAAATAATGTTCTTTTCGTAACTATCACGATTTTCTTGTTCAAGCTACTTTTTATTGGGGATGAGTTGACTTTAATATTCATTTTGGTTTCGTGAGGATTCTCTCTGTTTTGGTTCTTTTCGTGTGATGTGTTCTTGACCTTACTGTTGTGGTATAAGACAAAAATCATTGAGAATTGCTCAAGGGTGGAAACCCCTAATTTATCTGAGTCACAATTTTTGAGGTAAAACCTTAAAATTTTCAATTTCTTTTGGTGGTTAAAGCAGTGGTTCTCAAACTATGTGCCGCGAAAAAAGTTGATTGCCTAAATTGGTCCTATATCTTCATGTTTTATGACTCCAAAAAGTTCATGAAAATCATTTAGTATGTCGCGAGACTATTCAGGTGTACCGCGAAAATTTTTATGCAAAAACATGTACCGTGATAAAGTGATAAAGTTTGATAAAAACTGGGTTAGAGATATTCTTCACAGATTCAAACCCAAAAATCTTAAAGGTAGCTCAAATAACATTTCCATTCAGTAGCTTTCCCCCCCAAAAATTGCAAAAATAATCTCGAAATGGAAATTTCATGACTGATTCCTGTTTAAATTTTGTGATTATAGTCAAATTTAGTTTTGAGCTTCGTGTAGATAAGTACTTGAAGTGTTGAACATCATTAAAATTTTCATAAAATATGAGGTCAAATTAGAGGAGGAAATTATCAAAATCATTGTTATGGATTGTATCTTATTATAGTTAAATTTTGAAAGTCTTCGATTTCCTCACAATATTTATTATTCTAAGGTAGTCTTAACGTCACAATTAAAACAAGAATCATTGCAACCAACTCAACATCTCAAAACTTCATTACATTTAAATTCTAAAACACTTTAAAATTCCATTTAACAAACTTACAACTTAAAATTAACATAATTTAAATAAACAACAGAGAATGCGCTCTATTTATCTAGTTCAAGACACCCCGAAGCTCTCCTTTCTTCCCTCTGTTGTTCCTTCTCATAGAAAATATATATATTTTTTCCTTCAGTCATTCTGATATATTTTCATATTTTTCAATGAAATTAAAATGAAAGCGAATGGCATATAAAGTAAATCACAGTATGTTTCAGCAACAACAACTGTAAGTACAATGTTCTGTGCATTCTATTATGAAAACTTTTATCACTTCCGTTTGCACGCTACGCCTGGTACAGAAAGTTTGTCAGAAATGGTGGAAAAAAGGTAGGAACAAAAAAATTTTGTGTATTTATTTTAAGAGAATGAGAAATTTGCCTTTTATTAATAAATACGTGGAAAAATTATGGAAAGACAAGTAGAAGAAAGATCAGTGGCTGAATCAGATTGATTGAGACTTATTTTCCTCAAATTAACATTTTCTTTCGTATTTTATTCATTTTAAAATTTGATTTATAAAGACAAAGTGGCATAAATCACACCTATTGCATAAATGCACATCGCCTACATCTACCTTATTAAACGAATTTTCAATGGACAAAGCAGGTAGAAAAAGGGCAAGCAATTTAATTTAGAAATTATATTAAAAATTACTATAAACTGCTAGTTTGTTGGTAAATAAGTCGGTAAACACAATAGGATGGTAGTTGAAAGAAGAAGTAGGAAAAAAATGGCATAAAAGGATTACACAACGTTGAAAGCATGGATATTTAATGAAATAAAATTATTATATCAACATATTTTCCACTATCTCTCCTTTTTAACATTGTTCATATTAATACACAAAAGTTATTTACAGTGTTAAGCATCATATTTTTATGTAAACGGGGCAATTTCTAGCCCCTACAGAGCATTTCACAAATTCACAGCTCTGTATGTAAATATATGAGCAAGAGAGTGTTGAGACGTAGGAGGGTTCTTTTTTTGCAAAATTAAAAAAGGCATAACATGAGAAGTAGAAGATTATAAAAAAAAGTAGTACTGGAAAGTTCATAGGAACAGCATGATTTTCTGAACATTATTATGGAAAGGAAATGTGACTTTATGTTCTTAGTTTAACTGAGAATATTTAAGAATTTAATTTAAAAATTTCTAACGACTTATAAAAATTTAAAACAATTCAACTTAGGTTTGGGGCCGTTCACTTATGACGTCCAGGGGGGGGGGGGGGATGTCAGCAAGAAAAGAACAATAGAAATTCCTGGAAATCCTTTGCTCTCTTTTGAAAAATGACCGTTATTTTCGGACGTCATAAGTGAACGATCCATAATTTTTGATCCATGTTCTTTAAAAATTTGATTGTTTCAAAAATATACTTTAACTAAGCTAAAACTTTTTAAAACAAGTTTAATCAAAAAAATAATTGTCAATTAAAGTAAAAGTTGCTTTTTAAAAATCATTTTCTCACGGATTTGGCTTTAGCGTTGGTATATTACATGAAATACATTACGTAAATTTCTTCTTTCAAAATCAGAATTCAACATTGTGTAATATACCAACGCTGACAAAAATCCAAATATTTCATTAATTATATTTTAAATGGGATGACTTTATCTGTAATGAATTTGTTCATTCTAAAGCTAAAATTCCCACAATTAATGAGTTTACACTCAAACTGACTAATAAATTTTATTCAAATTGCGAATCACATTCTAATGATTTAATTTCCAACCTGGGACGATATAGATATGACTCTCTAGACTTTCGTTTGAAACATAGACTTCCAAAACCTATTTCCTCTTAAAGGAGAGGTTGTTCTTTTTATTTTTATCTTTTTATATATATAATCATTTTAATTTTAATTTTAATTTTTCCATGATGGTTTTTTTTCCACTTTTTTTTTCAACCAATAATCCCATTATATTAAACATATCACGAAATACGTAATTAAGAATCAAGTTAAGTTTAAATTAAAACCGAATAGGTTGGTGTTAAAATAAAAATCCATGTAATGTTAAATTTCAAATATTTACAAGAAACTCACAATAAAGACAAATATTATTATTCATTAATTAAAGCTTGACGACAAAAGTTAATTATATATAAAGATAGATCTCGGTGATTTACATAAGTAAGTGTTAAGACTGGAGCTATAAAGTCATTTGTAAGAGAGAAAATTTGATTTAAAGTCCGGTTTTTTGTAAAGATTCATCCGTGGAATCGCTTTAAAGCTTATCTGCGCTTGAAATTGTTTCGAGTTCAAATTCAAATATTGTTATTTTAAATTAAATAGCTTGAGAATCAATTGGCTTATTTGTGACAATCTAATTGTCAGTAAAGCGCTCCATCATTTAACAGCTAACGATTTAATCAATTAGCATCATATGCGCAATAATCTCCAACTTAAAATAATGTCTTTTTTTTGTCCAACAAAAAAAATTTTAAAACACAAAAAGAGCAATTTTTTTCAGTAACATCTTCCTCACTTTAAGCTTCTTAATATTCAAAGCTATACATATTTCTTAGATGGTTTCAGCAGCCTTCATATTGCCTCATTTATTCTTTTCATTTCATTTCTCATTCAATTTTTCTTTCTTTTTCTCATTTTTTGCATTCAAAGTTTTCTTCAATTTTCTTGTGAAAAGCTACATGATTTTTTTTTTTTGGTATTCAAGAGGCTAATTAATATTCAAATAGCATAGGTACTTCAATTTATGCTTCTTTAATTAAGACACAACTTCTTATTCAGCAATGTCAAGTATATTTGTGGGAATCCTCAAGAACAGCACAAGTACTTGTTCGTTTTTTTCGCGTAATTTCATGCATTTAATTTTTACGTTTTTCCTTCCTTCAAAAAAATGACTGTGGTGACGTGAGTTAAGGAGGAAGAAGAAAAGGAAATTTATTATTTGGTTAATTAGTTAAGGCTCATACACTTTTCGTGCTGAATGATTTTTTTTGCCTTCTTCTTATGTACGATTATGAATTTCCTCTTTTCCCACACATTCTTCTATTTTTCTTTTCTGGTTTTTAGCTTTTATGGCATTGGAGATTGACTTTATGAGTTCACTTTTGAACTGACTGACTGATTTGTGTAAGGAACTGTAATATCAACTGTTATAATCATTGTTATATCCAGTTATATCGACTTCACTCTTTAGAATTATTAATAAATCGGTCTCTTATAGGTATTGAACCCACGGCTTAAAAAACACTGACTTATATTCGATCTGTTGCCTAAACATTCAATTACAAAGGCCTTCCTTTTGTGCTTACAGATTTGGTGACTGCATATTCTTAAGCAACATATTAGAACGCAACTGGAACTGATCTTTTAATCTGTATAGTATCAGTAAGTAATCGATTCGTAAATGATGATGGTAACGAAGACTTAAAAGGCTATCACTAGAATTACGTGATTTTCGAACAAATCCCAACGCTTTAAAATAATCAAGAAATACTTCTCAATTGCCCCATTTACATAATATCACATGCATGCGCCCAATTCATTCATCCACAAAGCATTTTCGACTCATTTTTTTCTAAACCCCAAAAAGGGGTAATTGAAATGCTTGCAAAATATAAACGAGCAGTCATAAGAGAAAGAGATATTTTCATCGACTGTTTCACGTATCATGAATGCAATATTAGCAAGATGAGATGTGATAGAAGGAAAAAATACGACGAAGCTGGCTTTTTGGAGCTTTTTCAACATACAAAACTATGAAAAAAAAACATGTGCCGAAATGAAGTGATGATAGAATAAAAAAAAAAGTTTTGATGATGAAGGAATTGAAGAAAAAAAAAATAACTAATACAATAGCCTTGTTTCTTTAATTCACTTACCAGATCCCACAAGAGGAGCAATCTTCTGTGTCGAAGCAATCACATTGTTTTCATTATCCTCATTTGAGCTTGCCTCCATCGTGTCTAATGTTTCTATTGACATTTTTGTGTCCGTTTGAGGTGTTGATGAATCATTACTAGCGCTTCTTATGACGAGGACTGAATGGCCTTTATCAACATTCTTTATTATCAATTGTCCATTTTTTAATAATCTATCGGTGTTCTCCAATCTAACAAATGTTCCACCACCACCCTCCTGCTGATGTTGCTGTTCATTTTGAATCGATGCTTCATTGCTACTTAATGTTCCTAACACGAGCTTCCCGACACTTGCATTTGTTTCATTCGTTTGACTAATGGTGGCAATTTTTGCATTGTTCTTATTAAGGATATTTAAAAAATCTTGAGTTTGGATTCCACGCACCATATATAGTATGTTTCCATATTGACGACCAGCTGAGTTTGTAGAAACACAATTAATCATCATCTGCAAATAAGAAAAAAAATGGAAAAAGAAAAATTATTGTTGAGAAATGAATTTGTATGAATAGAATTTATCATATAAAAAAAATTATTGAAAATACAAATATTAAGCATATGACGGAAGTAAGGAAGTTGAAGATGACTTAAACGCACAATTTGTATCCTTTTGAATTTAACATTCTTTGATCAACTAAGATAAGAGTTTTCTTAAAATTTTTTTGTGCATACTGCGGTTAAGAATATTAAATTACTAAGGTTCTTAGTCTTTATATTAATTCCAAAACCTTTCGTGACCTACTTTCATGATAAATACTTAAGATTCGTGTTTTGATAAAACTGAATCAATAAATATTAAATTATTTGTGTCCAAAACTCTCCAAAATATCATTAAGTGCTCGAACTTCAAAGTGAAAAGACAATGAAACTTCTAAGTTCCTTGATTTTTGTTTTAACATCCAAATTTTCAGAATTTTCTAGTCAACCAGAAAGAAACATCTTGACAAACAGTGAAATTGAAGATATTTCTATAATTACCGAAATTACATTAGATATTATTGGCGTGTACTTTATCAACAGAGGAACTGAATTCGATATTTTTATTTTCAAAGATTCACAATCGAAAAAGACAGAAGAAATCCTTAATGGAATTATTGGTCACAGCAATGAAAGATTCAAGATTGAAATCTACAATTACTTTGAATCATCATGCTCAAATCAACCTATTCTACGTCCTATAATTATTTTTATCGACACACTACAAAGCTTAATTTGCTTTAGTAAGAAATTTAAAATTACAAAGCATCAAAGTCAATTCAATAATTTTGTATTTATTGAGGAATCATTAGTCTCTAAAGTTCAAAAGTTTCAGTCAAAAACGAATAGATTGAACTTGTTCTCATCATCAATATTTATGCATACAAATTTTATAGTCAACTATTCAGACACGATTAATTTATCAAGTTTCGAATGGTTTACATCAATGTTCTGTAATATTCCAAGCCTACTTCCTATTAATATATATCACAAAAGTTTGAAACAATGGAGTGAACCTTTAATATTCTCAAAAAATTTCGTCAACTTTCAAGGTTGTGAATTAGTTCTAATGATGCCAGTTCTTCGTAGTACAATAGACTCAAATATTTGGGGACATTCAGTTGCTTTTGGCTCTACATACAAATATGTTGGGATCATACCAAAAATCTTTGAAATAGCATCAAAAGTTTATAATTTTAAGGACCAATACCAACCAGTAAACCCTCGCTATGAATCAAGTTTTATCAGTGATCCAATTCCCGATAACTTTGATATTATTATAATCAATGGAACTTATCGAGAACCAAATGTTTGTATTGAATTTATTGATATGGGACTTATTCCTCAATTCCTTTTTATTCGTCATACAGTTCCATTTGTGGAACTATCTAGAATATTTTTGGTAACTCCCGGCGAACTTTACACATCATATGAGAGTTTGCTTCTTCCGTTTGACTTTACAATTTGGATCTTGTTCATTGCAACTACTTATATAGTCTTCGTCATAACTTTTTTTAACAACAAATTGTCAAAAATAGTTGAAGACTTTATCTATGGAACATCGGCTTTTAAAGTGTTAAGAATAGTTTTTGGAGTTCCTCAAACTCAAACTCCAAACGGAAACTTCTCAAGACAAATTATGATTTTCTTCACATTCTTCTGCCTAATTATTCGAGCATGTTTTCAAAGCAAGGTATTCCAAATCATGACTAGTGATCAGAGGCACCCGTCACCAAGCACAATTCAAGATTTAATCGATAGACGATACTCTTTTTATAGCTCTTATTATGATAAAGACTTTGAGTTTTTGGAAACTGAATACAATATCAGGTAAGCCAGCTCTATAAGAGTAATATTTGGGTATTCCATGAAGCATTTATTAAAAAACTTTTTATTTATCAGTGTCATTGAGACCCGGTTGGAGATGTTCATTAGATTATATGAAACTCAAGCAGAAAATGCATCAGCAAAAGTGGCATTAGAAGTAACTGATGCATATCATAACTATGCAACTGAAAAACTAGGAAGAAAATTTGATAACTGGATGCAACTGAAAAATTTTGTACTATCAACTTCTCATGGTGGTTTTGGAATGCTCTTTAATTCGTTTTATTTTGATATGATTGACGAAACTGTAAACAATCTTATAGAGTCAGGAATCATGAAACTAATTTATGAGTCTTATATTAAACAGACAGTAAAGAAAAAGATTTCTAGAGTGATGTGTAAAGTTATTGGTTTTGAGGATCTTCAAATTTACTTTATTATGTGGAGTGGATTTTGCTGTGTCTCTATTTTGTGTTTCATTATTGAAGTTTTGATGAGGAGAGAATCAAAATCACATACTGAAGAATTATTGGTGACTGAAACTTAACTAAGATTATGAACTTCTATGGAAGCTAGCAGCTTTATGAACAGTCTTTGAAATATTTTGGCACAAATCTACTCATCAAGCACGATGGTCTGTCTGTGAACAAAATTTAAGCAACATTGCACCAATATTTTGATTATAACCTAACATATCTTGCTAAAAATGGAATCTGCTGTATTTATAGACCTCAAATTAAAATTAATGTTGTTGACTTTCTAGCAAATAAGCGTTAGAGCTTGACAGACAAAATAAAATTAAAGTCACAATCACATTATTAATTCAGACTCAAAACGAATGTATAATAAAATTTGACAAATGAATAAATGCAATAAGGAGTTCAGAGAATAAATGCTTTTTCCTCTCCCATCCTCTCTTTCTATCCTCTCGTTTTGTTTACTTCTTATTTTCATGTGCTCAAGACACACACAAAAAAAACTACAATATATTAAAATGTGTCTAGGTATGAAGAACAAGAAGAAGGAGAAGGAGAAGAAATGAAGGAAAATTTTATCTTAAAATATATGAATTTCCTTAGAAGGCATGATACATTCATTTGACAATCTTTTGTAAGTGTACAAAAGTAATAAATAATTATTTAAGGAACGTATTATGCAATAACATTTAACTGAATAATTTACTTCCAAACAGATGTAAATGCTTTCAAGCATTTACTTACATAACGTAAGAGGGAAAATCTAGCAAGAAATTCGATATAAATTTTAAGCCTCTGACCAAAACAATTTCATATACAACGACGATAAGGTCAACGTTACTTAATATTCAGTAAACAACAATTTCTTGCTTTCTCGCTCACAAGAATCTAGGACAAAATTTTCTTAAATTCTTTTTTCAATTAATAGGAATGTGTGCTTTATACAGCACGTGAAAATACCACGTAAAACTTCAGTGGTGTCGCGGTTCATTGGTGTGAAATTTGAGAAATGTCAAATACACATTCCTTCCTTTCGTTATGGCTTACATGACATTTTTGTATAAAAGCTTTTGACGGGCCACTTCACTTCCAAAAATTGAGATGAAATCAATTGAAGTCTATTGTGTTACACGTGGAGCATATTTCAATCAAAATGTGGACCTATTGTTGGACAATTTTATGAGTGAAATAGACTTAAGTATTTTGTTTACGTCAAAAGAATAGATGGAAAATATTATGACAAGTTACGGCTTGTTGACCATTTCTTTGGTATGCAAAGTCTGAAGATTTTTATTTTTGTCAGATTTCTAGGGATGTTATTGAGATTAAATAAGAATGAGCATAAAGAATATCATCAAATTTTTAGATATTGAAATGAATAGAACCAAATGGCAAAAAGTCTTGCAAAAACTTTATAAGGAATTAGTTATTGTCAACCGGTAGCGTTTTGGGGATTTTTTTAAGCATGGTAGAATTTTGAAAGAAAAGCATCACAAATTCATAAACCTTTACAAGGGAGCCAATAAAACAACCAGTTTTAAACTAGGAGCGACTTCAGGAAGTCAAGTGTATGGTGTCTAAGCGAAAGTGAAATCTGGAGTTCTGAGCCAAATATAGGCGATTCTGCCAGTGCAAGTAAACAGACAAGGATATCTTTTGAGAAGACGCGAGTTCGATTCCTACCAGATACCGAACTCTCAATCTATAGATGCTGGTAGTTATGACAAGGATTAACACAATGCTCACGACATTACAGTTAAGTTGACCAATTGGACACATAACCGATAAATTTCCTGGCAAGCTTAATAGAAAGCTATCATTAAGTCTTTGGTAAGATTTCTGAAGAAATCTCAAAAACAAAACACTGACTTTAAAGTTAAAAACTCATCGAAGTCAAGCATTACAAGACACCTTCAACATAAGCTTCTTAGTCTATAACTTGTCTACTTAATCCATAAATCAATGCACCAAAATGAATAAGTAATGTCATCAAGTGAGTAAAAATAGGGCCAATAAAAGTTTATAAAGCTCTTCATGTCGTAAATATATTTTTTAAACACATAAATAAGTGAAATTTCTTCCGCGTTCCTTCACTTTCTATTTTACAAACAAATCTATTGCCATTTCCCATAATAGAAAGAAAAAGGAAAGGAAAAACTAAACCATAAAAAACAAATTTTTAAAAATTATGTATTTGCCACACATAATAATAAAGTTGTTACAAACAAATAAGAGGGATAAAAGGTTGAAATAACAATTTAATTCCGATATATATACAATTGTATGTATGAATGTCGAATCGATAAATTCAGTTTGTTTGGATTTTAAAGGATCAATTTAAAAGCATGTTAAATGTGATGAAAACATGCAAATAATATGGCTAGAGGCCAAAAAACAAAAAACGAAAACCTTCCATAATTTTTATTAATGTCATAAGAATTTTCTCACTCTCCTATCGATTCCTTCTTGCTTTTTATAAATCTTTAATACCTCTCCCCTGTGCTGTTATTATTATAAGGAAGCGATGCAAATAGAAACATTTCTTTGTTTTCTGTATGCAAGATATTTTACTATATTTTATTATATTTTTGGAGCTGGCAGAGATTTTTTTCCTTCCTTTTCGCCCACTTTGGTGAACTCTTACACTAGGGAATTTATCTTAACCTTAAGTGACAAAGCTCATGCAATTTAGTTAAACAATCAACTTTGAATATTTTTATATTCACACCTTTTTCACGTGTGAATCTATTGGTTTTGTTCAGATTGAAAAATCAGTTTTTTGAATTTTGTGAGGATATGGAGCAAGATAGCTTAAAATGTTCAGAGATGAAAACTTTGTGCCTGAAACAGACTAGGGGCGACCCTAGTCAAAATCAATTTTGTCACTTTTTTCTTCGAGGGTTTATCCAAATGGATTGAAACTTTGCATAAATATTTTAGTGCTTAAAACAAATACAAATAAAACATTTTAAAATTTTTTTGAGCAAAGAACCAAGTAGGAAATACATTTTCAATTTTGGACTAGGGGCGACCCTAGTCAATATCAATTTTGTCACTTTTTTCTTGGAGGGTTTATCCAAATGGATTAAAACTTTTCATAAATATTCTAGTGCTTAAAACAAATACAAATAAAACATCTTAAAATTTTTTTGAGCAAAGAACCAAGCAGGAAATACATTTTCAATTATGAACTTGGGACAGGTCCAGTCAAAATCTAGTTTTTCACTTTTTTTTTTCTTCGAGGATAAATCCAAATACAGTAAAACTTTGTATGAGCATTCTTATCCTCAGGTCACACATTTTTGAATTAACAAAAATCATTTTTTGGGACAAAATTTTAAGTCACGTTGTTTTTGAATGTACAACCAAATTTATAAAATTTGGGTTTGACGACATATAAAATACATTTGTTGCTTTAGATATTTAAAACTGTTTTGTATAAATATTAGTATACTCACACAAGATTTCACAGTAATTGCATAAACCTTCCAAGAAAAAAAGTGAAAAACTAGATTTTGACTAGACCTGTCCCAAGTTCATAATTGAAAATATTTTTCCTACTTGGTTCTTTGCTCAAAAAAATTTAGGATGTTTTATTTGCATTTGTTTTAAGCACTAAAATATTTATGCAAAGTTTCAATTCATTTGGATAAACCCTCGAAGAAAAAAGTGACAAAATTGATTTTGACTAGGGTCGCCCCTAGTCCAAAATTGAAAAGTATTTCTTCTTGGTTCTTTGCTCAAAAAAAATTTTAGAATGTTTTATTTGCATTTGTTTTAAGCACTAGAATATTTATGCAAAGTTTCAATCCATTTGGATAAACCCTCGAAGAAAAAAGTGACAAAATTGATTTTGACTAGGGTCGCCCCTAGTCCAAAATTGAAAATGTATTTCTTCTTGGTTCTTTGCTCAAAAAAAATTTTAGAATGTTTTATTTGCATTTGTTTTAAGCACTAGAATATTTATGCAAAGTTTCAATCCATTTGGATAAACCCTCGAAGAAAAAAGTGACAAAATTGATTTTGACTAGGGTCGCCCCTAGTCCAAAATTGAAAATGTATTTCCTACTTGGTTCTTTGCTCAAAAAAATTTTAAGATGTTTTATTTGTATTTGTTTTAAGCACTAGAATATTTATGCAAAGTTTCAATCCATTTGGATAAACCCTCGAAGAAAAAAGTGACAAAATTGATTTTGACTAGGGTCGCCCCTAGTCCAAAATTGAAAATGTATTTCTTCTTGGTTCTTTGCTCAAAAAAAATTTTAGAATGTTTTATTTGCATTTGTTTTAAGCACTAGAATATTTATGCAAAGTTTCAATCCATTTGGATAAACCCTCGAAGAAAAAAGTGACAAAATTGATTTTGACTAGGGTCGCCCCTAGTCCAAAATTGAAAATGTATTTCCTACTTGGTTCTTTGCTCAAAAAAATTTTAAGATGTTTTATTTGTATTTGTTTTAAGCACTAGAATATTTATGCAAAGTTTCAATCCATTTGGATAAACCCTCGAAGAAAAAAGTGACAAAATTGATTTTGACTAGGGTCGCCCCTAGTTCAAAATTGAAAATGTATTTCCTTCCTGGTTCTTTGCTCAAAAAAATTTTAAGATGTTTTATTTGTATTTGTTTTAAGCACTAGAATATTTATGCAAAGTTTCAATCCATTTGGATAAACCCTCGAAGAAAAAAGTGACAAAATTGATTTTGACTAGGGTCGCCCCCCTGGAAACCAAAAAACAAATTCTTTATCTTAAAACACTTGACAAAATAGCGACATAATTCAGGATTAATTCCTTTTTAATAATATTTTAATATTTACGAGAAAATGTGGTTCAAATAAGTGTAAAGTAAGTGTACTGGTTCATATTGTTCCCAAGGGTAACGAAATTCAAACTAAGTGTTTTTGTAGCTGACATAATTATGACAAAAATTAGGTATAACTTTTGAACTGTGTCGATATGGGTCTCGGCCGTACTTCACGCCCACCCTTGAAATTTATGCTGAGCAAATCTTGGTCTATCGATAAGACTTTTGATGGTACGGTGTGAATAAATCCGCATTGGGTTTCTACCCGATACACTAGTTTTGGAATTTGTTTTGTTTTGTAAATAGGAAGTTATTGAGGTGTGATATAGAACAATATTGCTTGATTG